GAGGTCTTCTAGTCCAGCCCCTGCTGAAGGACAAATGGCTGTGCAATCACTTCTTAAAAACCTCCAGTGATGGAGCATCCACAACTTTGTGAAGAAAAGTCCAATATAATGTTCTCACTGTCAGGAAACTTCTCCTTACTTCAAGGTTGCTTCTCTCCTGGATAAGTTTCCATCCATTACTTCTTCTCCTGCCTTCCGGTGTTAAGGAGAATAGATTGACCCCCTCTTCTTTCTGACATCCCTTCCAATACAGATAGTCCTTGACTTACGACTGCAATTGAGCCCCAAATTCACGTTGCTAAGTGAGACATTTGTGAAGTGACTTTTGCCCCATGTGATGATGTTTCTTGCCACTGTTTTCATGTGAATCGTTGCAGTCCATAAGTTAGCAACACGGTTGTTAAATGAATCTGGCTTCCCCCCATTGATTTTGCTGGTCAGAAGGTCGCAGTGCCGCGGTAACTTTGAATGGTCACTAAATGAACTGTCGTTAAGCCGAGGACTACCAGTGTTGGGAGATGCTTTTGTGTCACCCTAGTGACAATAGAAAGTAGAGCTGCCTTCAATTCTTTAGCCTCTACGGTCCCAGTTCCTGCAACTGTTCATCGTACGGTTCAGCCTCCAGTCCCGTAATCAAGAAAGTTTCAAATAAATTAATTAATAAATTAAGCCATAAGGCCTTTTGAGATGCTGTTTGGGGGATTCTGGGACTTGAAGTCCAACCCACAAGGAAGGTCTCCGTTAGGTCCTCTGCTTCAGTGGTGAAATCCAAATTTTTTTACTACCGGTTCTGTAGGCGTGGCTTGGTGGGCGTGGCTTGATGGGCATGGCAGGGGAAGGATACTGCAAAATCCCCATTCCTCCCCATTCCTGGGGGGAAGGATATTGCAAAATCCCCATTCCCACCCCACTCTGGGACCAGCCAGAGGTGGTATTTGCCGGTTCTCCGAACTACTCAAAATTTCCGCTACCGGTTCTCCAGAACCTGTCAGAACCTGCTGGATTTCACCCCTGCTCTGCTTCCATACAACTGTCTGTGAATTCTTTCCACCAGCTCAAACATCCTTTGCCTTCCTTTCCTGCTTCTACCTTCCATTTCAGGCAGTTTAATCATTAACTTGGAGAACAAGACGTTGAAAAGCATCTGTTTGCTGAAGGATGAGATTACCATGAGGCCGGGCAGCTGAAGCAGCTATGCAAATGGTGGAAAAAATAGAGAAGGAGAAGCTGGAGAGAAAGAAGAGGGGAAGCTGTGCGTCTCAACATTGATCCCTTTCAAGATGGGTGGACTTCAACTCCCAGAATTCCCCAGCCAACACGTTGAAGTCCGGACAACTTAAAGGATGCTGGCCAAGGAATTCTGGGATTAAGTAAGGCCAGCCATATTTGGCCAACTGAGTTAGAGTTAAGGTTTGAATTGGAGTTTCTGGATAAAACTCTTGTTTTCATTTCTTTTCTGTTAAGAATTATGTGCAATCTTTTGTTCAGGAGCTTTATGAACGCTACAGAACAACAGCCCTAGGAGGGAGGCCAGTCTGAGAAAGTATGATTAGGCCGAAGTCCTACAGAGGACTACAATCTTGAGTCCTCCCACAGCCAGTCCAACATCCAACCTCCCAGAGGCTCCCACCTTTCAAGGTTTGATTCTCTGGGCTGTCCCTGTATAACTAGATTCACGTAGGATGCTACACCTGAAAGCTAACAAACCAGAAAATGTTTTTGTCGATGTGTTTTGTACAAGCAAATAAGCTGTATGTTGGCTTTCTCAATTGTGGCCACTTTAAGATGGGTGGACTTCAATTCCCAGAATTCCTCAGCCAACCATGATGGCTAGGGAATTCTGGGAGTTGAAGTCCGCACATCTTCAAGTGGCCAAAGTTGGGAAAGAGTGATTTGGATCGTCATCTATGGCAGCTTGGAGGATGTCAGTAGGTGAATCATTCTTCTGTTTTTTTCAGTTTGTCAGGTGAAAAGTTGGGTTTGTGAGTCTCTCCCATAAATCCCTATTTTCCTATTGAACTTTTTACATTTGAGGACTTAGAGCAGCGGTCTTCAAACTTGGCAAATTGAAGACTTATGGACTTCAGCTCCCAGAATTCCTCAGCTAGTCATGCTGGCTGCGGAATTTTGGGAATTGAACTCCTCGAGTCTTAAAGTTGCAAAGTTTGGAGACCCCTGACTTAGAGTGAAGTGTCTCAACCACGCTGAGGAATTCTGGGAGTTGAAGTCCACAGGTCTTCGAGTGGCCAAGGCTTAACCTTGTTCGCACCCATTAACACAAGAACTAGTTTTCCGTAAAGGGTTGAATCCTCAACTACCCAATCTCATCTCGGCTTGTTCCGCTGCGTTTCGCAAAACCATCCTTTTGAGCGGAGGTGAATTTTGTACGGATCAGAGGAGATGTCAGCATAAAAATGCTACGTTCAGCCAGTTGCTTGGGAAGACAATCTTTTGATGTCTTTTGCTTCTGTTCTTGTTTAATTTCCACTGCTCGAGAGACCGGTTTCTCCGGGGGCCTCTAACCGGATTTGGGTTTTCAGTTTTTCGGGAGTGTGTTTTTAAATTTTTGTGGCTTTTACTTTTGCAGATAATTTTATAATATGCTGATAATTTTATGATACGATGTCCCCGTAATATAAAAAAAGATGTTGAGAGATCCTGGAAAGAGTGTACAGCAACAAGGAGGATTAGAGGCCTGGAGGCTAAAACATACGAAGAACGGTTGCAGGAATTGGGTCTCTCGAGTTTAATGAAAAGAAGGACCAGGGGTGATAGGATAGCAGTGTTCCGATATTTGAAGCGTTGCCATTAAGAAGAGGGAGTCAAATCCAAAGCATCTGAAGGCAAGACAAGAAGCAAAGGATGGAAACTAATCAAGGAGAGAAGCAACCTTAGAACCAAGGAGAAATTTCCTGACAGAGCAATTAATCAGTGGAATGAATTGCCCCCAGAAGTTGCAAATGCTCCGACACTGGAAGTTTTTAAAGAAGAGATTTAGACAATCATTTGTCTGGAATGGAATGGAATGGAATGGAATGGAATGGAATGGAATAGAATAGAATAGAATAGAATAGAATAGAATAGAATAGAATAGAATTTTTTATTGGCCAAGTGTGATTGGACACACAAGGAATTTGTCTTGGTGCATATGCTCTCAGTGTACATAAAAGACAAGATACATTCGTCAAGAATCATAAGGTACAACACTTAATGATAGTCATAGGGTACAAATAAGCAATCAGGAAACAATATCAATATAAATCGTAAGGATACAAGCAACAAAATTACAGTCATACAGTCATAAGTGGAAGGAGATGAGTGGTGGGAACGATGAGAAGATTAATAGTAGTGCAGACTTAGTAAATAGTTCGACAGTGTTGAGTAAATTAGTTGTTTAGCAGAGTGATGGCGTTTGGGGAAAAACTGTCCTTGTGTCTAGTTGTCCTGGTGTGCAGTGCTCTAAAGCGTCGTTTTTGAGGGTAGGAGTTGAAACAGTTTATGCCCAGGATGCAAGGGGTTTGTAGATATTTTCACAGCCCTTTTTTTGACTCGTGCAGTATACAGGTCCTCAATGGAAGGCAGGTTGGTAGCAATAGGATTTCCTGTTTGAGCAGGGCATTGGACCAGAAGACTCCCACGGTCCCTTCCAACCTTGTTATTCTTTTCGATTGTAGATTTTATTTAAAATAAATTATTTTATTTTTTTTAAATCCACCCGGGGAGCTTTGTTGCAAAAGATGGGTGGTAGATAAAGTGCCTTATCTTTGCAGGTAAAATCAATTCTATCCCCATGTGAATCTGAGGTGGGGGGGGGGAGAGAAATATCTGAACTCCCTTTTCCTATTCTCTGTGTGGGTGGCTTAATAAGTAATGAGAATATTTAATGTCCACGTGGGACCTGTTTTTCTTCTGAAGTCTGCTTTGCATATCATGATCTGTTCTCACGTGGAGAGGAGGTGCCTTCCAGGTGAAGGATGCAGATTCATGGTGGGCCTTAAGTAAAGCAGGGCTTTACCCTTTAGGCCACCTGACTTTTCTCCATGAGAAGAAATCATGAGAGCCAGAGCAGCTTTTAGAAGTGAAGCAGGTGTGTTAAATATACTTATTTACTTACCGCTAACTGGAACTTTATCCCACGCGAACCCCGTAGAGCCTTGAACTAGAAGTATAACGGAATAACAGAGTTGGAAGGGGCCTTGGAGGTCTTCTAGTCCCACCCCCTGCTCAAGCAGGAAACTATATACCATTTTAGACAACTAATCGTCCAGTCGCTTCTTAAAAACTTCCAGTGTTGGAGCATCTACAGCTTCTGGATATCCTTGAGGTTGTTGGCCGAAATTCAATCATTCAACCTCTTACAACCTCACCCGTCAAAAGCTAACTTAGGAGAAGAAAACACCATCTTAGGAGTTGGTGGCCCAGGACAGTGGTGAAATCCTACCGGTCCGCACCGGTTCGAGCAAACCGGTAGTGATAAAAGCTACCCGTTCGGCGAACCGGTAGTAAAAAAAAGCTACTGAACTGGTCATTTCTGACGATCAGCTGTGCCGCGCGATTTATATTTGCTAGAAAGCAGGAATCCTGCTTTCTAGCGAATCTTAATAGCGTGGCACAGTGGTTCCCCCTCTCACTGTTCTACTTACCTTGTTAAGTGTCCTTTTTCCACGCAAAGCGTGCATTTGGCACGCACCGTGCGGGCAGCGAACCGGTGGCAAACTCCGGAGGATTTCACCACTGGTCCAGGACCCTTGTTAGTTAGTTCAGGGACTTGATCCTACAAGCAAACTTGAATTTCTGGAGGTGGAAACCATGTCTAGATCAGCCTTCTCCATTCGGGTACCTCCTTAGATATATAAAAACCACAACCCCATCTTCCCCAGCTGGGGTAGCGATGGAGCTGTTAGCTTGGTGGACATCACCTGGGAAAACAATGGCCCAGATTGATTTGAGGGGTGACATTGCTTTGCCCTGATTCTTCCTCTCTTGCTGTTTCCTCCCAGTTACATGGTTCGGGTGCGGGCTGTGGTGATGACCCGAGACGACTCAAGCGGCGGTTGGGTGCCCATGGGTGGTGGTGGCCTGAGCCATGTGACCATCTGTAAAGTCCGGCACCCTGACGAAGGGCAACGCCGTCAGTACCTGATCAACGGGGAGCGCCTCCGGGACCAGACGGTGAGACTGATGGGATAGGGAGGCGGTTAGGAGGGAGGCGGTTGCAAACCAAAGAGGTTAGGAGTACATTAGAGCAGGGGTCACCAACCTTTCGGACCTCAGGGACCACTAAATTCATAATTTTAAATCCTGCAGACCACTAATACGATCTGCATAATGACCGGCTGGGTGGGCGTAGCTAGGTGGTCATGGCCAACTCGATATCACTCATGTTGAGGGGCACCTCGCCAGCCTCTACTCGCCCCTTCACTCCCAGCCACTCCTTGCTTCCCCGCCTGGACTCCTTAGGGCCCCAACAGGAAGCAGTTGTTGGAGCTAAGCAGCCACCATGAGAAAGAGTTGGCAAAACAGCTCAGTTCAAATTGGATCTGACTGAGAAGGGGGCTCAGTAGAAGCACCTCACTTAGGACTACGAGCATAGGCTTTCCAAGCAGAGGGAAGGCCTGCTGGGGTGCAAGGCCAGGTACAGGTGCCTGGAGGCTCGGCGGGCTGAGATGGTCAGCCAGTTCCAGGCCATGATGCTGTCCCACTGGAACGAGGCCCTCCGGCTCTTTGCCACCAGCGGCACTTCCCTCCAGCCTTCACCCAAAGCCCCGCACCAGGAGGCCGAAGCAGATCCCAAGTCAGAATTTCTGCCCCCCCTCTGACCCGCACAAAAAGACCCCGAAGGGGGAGACTCTCTGCAGCAACACAAAAGTTAATTGCACGTATCCAGCCGTAGTTTGAGGACCCCTGATTTAGTGCAATATAACAAAATGCAAACCATTTTTCTGCGGACCACCAAAATTTTCTCACAGACCACCAGTGGTCCACGGATGATAAGGTGTAGGGGACGTTGCTTTTAAACCAGTAAGACTGCAGGCGTCCTTAATTCAGGATATTAATTTTTGCTCAAGTGACTTCCCCATCAGCCCCAGCCTTAATGTTCGGGACAAAAGTCAGCCTTTTTTCACATTTAGGTCAACATAGTCTCGGTGGGTAGCACGGGGTTGTGGGAGGGAAGGTGTCCTCCAATTGTTCTCCCCATCATGCATTCTTCCTCCTCCTCTTCCCTGTCCTGCAGACCATCTTGGAGTGTGCCTTGAAAAAGGACCTGGTCTACAACAAGGTGAACCCCATTTTCCACCACTGGAAAGTCGGGGATAACAAGTTTGGCCTCACTTTTCAGAGCCCTGCCGATGCAGTGATTTTTGAGAAGGGCGTGCAAGCCGCTCTGAAGGAGATCACGGAAGGTGAGGGGACTGCTGTGAAGCCGGAGGGGGGGGGGTCGGGGGGTCAGGGGTTGGGCTACTACCAGGCCGTGCAACTGCACCATTGTGGAATACAGAAACTTCTATTAAGCCCGTTACAGTGGGAAAATTCGGGTTCAAAGCTGGCAGCATCGATCAACTTCTAGGTGTTGTTTTCTGAGTTCCAACAATTCCTGAAATACGAGTAATTTGTAAAGAAGGTGTAGGGCCACAGTAATTACTACAGAGAGTTATTGAAATGCTGAGTAACAGCACTATCTTCTACCAGAGTTTTGCCTTACTCAGAATGAACACAGGAAACACTAGAGAATTTCTTGAAATAGCTTAGACAATTTAGGAGTTCATTTTGGAATTATTCTTATTACGGTTCATTGCACTGTCAGCCAGATGTTCGGACTGGATTTGAATATTTATCCACTTATCGAGCCCTTCCCAAAAAACCTGGGATAGGCAGATGTGGAGGTTTGATGACATTAGAGGTGTCATCCCAGGATGGATTATGTTCCGAGTAAAGCTGCCTTTTGCAATTGACCAATGGTGAATTTGTCAATGCCGATGGTGTTCAAGTGAGGCTCCAGTTCTCTTGGGATTGCACCCTAGGCACCTATCATTATTGATATTATTATTATTACTATTTGAAATGTATAATAGCCGGCAGCTCCCATAGATTCAAGGCAGCATGCCAATCTAAATCCAAAACATACGCACACACAAAATTAAAAACAATTACAAACCAAATGAAATCAGAGGCTCTTTTCCTAAATTTTCTCATAAGCTGGCCAAGCCCTGAAGAATACATTTTCATTTTTTTCTTCATTTTTGCATATTTCATTCAGAATAAAGGCCTATCGTTATTATATTTTTTTCAAAAAGAACCTTGGTATAATTTTGTGCACATATTTAGATTTTTACTTCCATCTTCCAGGTTCTTGTTCACCTTGCTCCAGTGCCACCGGCTCCTCTTCGTCCTCCGAGGATGAAGCAGCTGGTCGGGATGAAGCCCTTACTGTGAGTCTGTTTTCTACTTCGAATTGGATGTTTCCTGATTACCATAAAGCAATTTTTCTCATCTGTGCTAGCCAAGGAACGCTTGAATTGAAAAACATCCTTTAAAAAAAAAGAAAAAAGCAAGTTTTTGTCCTTTGGATGGTCAGAGTAAGGTTGAAATCATTCTCTAGTGCCTGATAATACACATAGTCCTCGACTTACAATCATACTTTTAGCAACCATTCAAAGTTACAATGGAGGGCGCTGGAAATAAAATGACCCGCCACTGGTCCTCATTGTCAGGGAATTGCGCAGCAGGTGTCCAAATGAAGTCAGAGACGCTGACACGAACTTGTAGTTTTATATAAATAAATATATTTTACATATATTTATGTAAAATATATTTTACATATATTTATAAATATATTTATAAATAAATATATTTTACAATATACATAGAGTAAATTAGATAATCAGGCCAACAGGAGACTCATGAGGTAAATCAAAGAGCAAACAGGGCCCACAGAAGAAAAAGGCGGGGGGGAAAGGGAATCCCTCCCCTATACATCCGCAGCAACCAATCACAGCGCAGATTGCCTCACGCAGGAGCCAGCCCTCTTCAACCGATATTATAACTGTGTGTTCTTGTTCACTGCACAATCCCACTGCTCCAGCTACTAAATTTAAATATCTATTGCTACTACTACTACTAGCACTGATGATGTTACCTAGTTTGGGTCATGAAACGTCTTCAAGAAAACCACCAAGCTCAGAGAACACCAAGGACCCCTCAGTTCAGCCCTGAGCTACAAATATTCTCCTTTATTGGTATTTTTCAAAGAGTAGCACTGTCAGTCAGGGAATTTGTGCAAATGGAGTCAGAGACACTGACATGAACTTGTAGTTTTCTATAAATAAATATATTTTACAATGAAGGACTTCTCAGTTCAGCCCTGAGCTACAAATATTCTCTTTTATTGGTACTTTTCATAGAGTAGCACTGTCAGTCAGGGAATTTGTGCAAATGGAGTCAGAGACGCTGACACGAACTTGTAGTTTTAACGTAAATAAATATATATTTATATCGATATATACAGCAAATTAGATAATCAGGCAAATGGGAGAATCATGAGGTAAATCACAGAGCAAGCAAGGGCACACAGAAGAAAAAGGCGGCGGAAAAGGGAACCTCCCCCTTCGCACCCACAGCAACCAATCACAGCACAGATTGCCTCTTGCAGGAGCCAGCCCTCTTCAACCAATCAACCATAACTGTGTGTTCTGGCTCACTCCACAACCCCACTGCTCCAGCTGCTAAATTTAAATATCTTAACATTCGTACTTACGGTACTTACAACCGTTGTACCACCCCCTGATCACGTGATCACAATTCCGACACTTGGCAACCAATTTGCCTTTACAATTTGCCTCAACTGGTTGAGGTATCTTGTGGTCGAGGACTATCTATAAAAATTGGTTCCTCATTTGGTCTCAAGTCTACCTTGTGCTAGGGGCAACTGAATGAAAAGCCATGGGGACCTGCTCTCAGACTCAACATAACCTCTGCATTGTGGCTTTTCTCTCTAGGTGCGCACAGATAGCGAGTCTTCCTCAAATAGCCAGAAGGAGATGCTCCCCAAACCCATCACCATTGTGACCAGTGAGTCCTCCTCCACCTGCTTCATTCGCACCCCCATTTCTGAAGAGTTCCCCTTCAGTTCAACACAAGGGGCGAGCTCAGCTGGACCGGTGCGTAGTCATGATCATACTCTACTCTACTCTACTCTACTCTACTCTACTCTACTCTACTCTACTCTGATCATCATCTTCTCTCCTCTCCTCCTTCACCTCCTTCTCCTCTTTCCTCCCCCTTTTCCTCTCCTCTCCCCTCTCTTCTCCTTTTTTCCTTCTCCTTTTACTCCTCCTCCTCCCCCCTCCCCTCTCCTCCTCCCCCTTTTTGAATTCCCTGAGTATGACTTCCATCCTTTTCTTCTCCACACCCCAGGTGCAAGCCGAACCCTTGCAGCAGCTGACTCTCCCAGATGAGGAGGAGCTGGAGAGCATCACCCCTTGTCCCTGGGTCACCAAAGGCTATGAGGACTACCGGCGGGCCGTGGTTCAGAAGCACCAGCCAGACCCTGAGAAAATCGACCTGTGTGTACACTTTGAGAAGGGCGGACAAGGCAGCCGATCTCCCCGGGAGAAGGAGTACAGCTTTCCCCCTGGGGCCGAAGGGCGGCTGAAGGACCCCAAGGCCTCGCCCTCCTGCCGGATCCATGGGGCCTCCTCCCCTACAAAACACAAGCCAATGAAGGAGCAACAACAGTCGCCACAGGCGCCCCCTGGAGCCATCATGGGCGTGGAAGAGGACACGGTGCCCTCGCGGTGCGTCTACTGCCGGGATGTCTTTAACAACGAAGAAAACGGGCGGGGACAGTGCCAGGATGCGCCGGACCCCATCGGCCACTGCGTCTACCAGTTCACTTGTATGTGGTGCGCCGAGAGCATGCTCTACCACTGCATGTCAGACTCAGAAGGGGAGTACTCGGACCCTTGTTCCTGCGACACCGGCCACCCGCACTTCTGCATCCGCTGGCTGGCTCTGGCCACCCTCTCCTTGGTGGTCCCGTGCATGTGCTGCTACCTACCCCTCCACGCCTGCTACTCCTGCGGTGAGCGCTGCGGTTGCTGCGGCGGCAAGCACAAAGCCGTCCGGTGAAACTGAGCAATTCCCGGACACGCCGTTTGGGGATTTTTTTGCCACCAAGGCCACGACGGGCGTAAGCCAGGCAGCTTTCTCCGAGATGGAGGCTTGCTGGGGTTCCAGTCCTTCAACCCAGCCGGCTCTCCCCTTCCCACACTCCCTTTCACCCCTTTGAGGAAAAGGACCCCAGGTGAGGATGGCTGGCAGCACTCCTGGGAGACCTCATGGGACGATTTTCTGTCCCAAAATTGGGACTTACTTTATTGCAAGAAAGGGAAAGCAAAATGGTCAGATATTGTCATGGGTACGCACCAGACACGTATTTTCCCCCCTCCCTGTGATGTTCTCTCTAGGGGTGATTTTTTGGGGAGGGTTTATTTTAAGGAAAGGGAGGATGAACTTGGGAAAACAAAACGAGAGGACTACACCGTAACTTTGACCAAAGTTTACTATGAACTCCGAAAGCATCCCGCGTTTTACCAATGTCGGTAACATCCATAAGCTCCGCCCGTCCTTGCTGTATATGTTTGGATGAGTCCAAGGCAGGCTTGGGCAACCTCCACCGAGATGGACCTCACCAACCAGCCATGTATTTTGGCAAACCGATCAGGCAGGTAAAGCATTCCTTGCCCCCCCCTTCCCTGTGACACCCCCAATGTCTTCTTAAGATTGAGACGTAATAGCGTTGCCTGTAGGACGTGGGCTCACCAGGGATGAAGAGAAAATGGTTCTCTTTTCTGGATTTCATTCTATTCTCCTTTACCTTTCCTGACCCATCGCAGTCCGGATTTTTAAGTCCTCGGAACACGTAGTCCTTGATTTATGACCCTAATTGAGCACAACATTTCTGTTGCTAAGCGAGACATTTGTTAAGTCAGTCTTGCCCTATTTTATGACCTCTCTTGCCACATGTGTTAAGTGAATCACTTACACTTGTTAACAACGAGGTTGTTAAGTGAATCTGGCTTCTCCATCGCTTGTCCGAAGGTCACAAAACGGAATCACATGACCCCTGGAGGCTGCAACTGTCATAAATATGTGTCAATTGCCAAGCATCTCAATGTTGATCATGTGACCACTGCAACGGTTGTGTGAAAAACAGTCATTAGTCGCTTATTTCAGGGCCGTTGTAACTTTGAATGGTCACTAAACAAACTGTTATAAGTTGAGGACTACCTGTATTTTTTTTTATTTTTTTTTTTGCATGATGTTTAAGGATGTGCTGAACATGTCTCTGTCTTCAAAGGCTGCTTTCCATGAGTGAGCAAAAAGTCCTTGCTGGTAGAGTGAGGGCAGGGATGAAATGCTACTGGTTCGCACCGGTTCAAGCGAACCGGTAGTAAAAAAAAAAAAAGCTACCGGTTTGTCCGAATCAGTATTTCCGACGATCAGCTGTGCCCCACAATTTATATTCGCTAGAAAGCAGGAAATCCTGCTTTCTAGCAAATCTAAATCACAAGGCACAGCTGTTCCCCCACCCCCATCACTGTTCCACTTACCTTCAAACGGCTCCTTTTCCCGTGCGAAGCGTGTGTTCGGTGCACACTGTGCGTGCACGGGCAGCGAACCGGTGGCAACCTGCGGAGGATTTCACCACTGGGTCAAGGTCAGGAAGACCAGAGTGGTGAATTTGTCATTAGGTCAGCTGTCCTGAACCCTCCCGGCCTGGTGGGGCATCAGCTTCCCTTCTCCTCTTTCAGAATTCCAGCTGGAATTCAGGAATTGTAGTCCGAGACACAATTTGGACACCCAAGTTGATTAAAAAAAAAAATCATAATATTAAACCCCTTCTGTCTTTTCCGGCCAAGCCTGCCTGTTTGCTTGGCATTCTAGCTTTCTGCTCAGGCTGTGTTTGCTTTGGAGGGTTGCCGGTTGGTTGTGCGTGTTGCTAATTGGCATCGATTCGGCTGCCCTGAAGGCAGGCAGAAGTTCTCACGATTATGTTTGTGCATTTAGTGGTTACCCGGGACTCAGATTTTTGCTAATACACCATCGGACTGCTCTTTCTGAGTCCCCCCCCTCCCCCCGGTTGCCTGTGATGGTAGTTCTCGACTTACAACCATATCTGAGAGAGGAATTTCCATCGTAAATCGGTACAGTTGTAATGGGAGTCATTGTGTGACCGGACCTAATTTTATGACCATTTTATACCGCAGTGGTTAGGTGACTTCACTTGTTGGAAGGTCACAAATTGGGATCACATGAACGCACGACGCTGCAACCATCGTAGGTGCGAAATGGTTGCCCAAATACCTAAAATTGTGATCACATGACCTCAAGAGTGATGCAACGGTTGTAATTTCAGGGACAGGTCATAAGTCACTTTTTTTCCTGAGGTCAACATAGCTTTGAACCGTTGTTAAAACAAACGGTTGTAAAGCGAGAACTACCTGTACTGATCCCAGACTTACCGAAGTCTCTTGGGCGTTTCCAGGCTAAAATCAAACGCGGGCATTAAAAATGTATCAAAACAAGAACAGACCGGTCTTTCTCTTGGTTGTTTTTCCCTTAAAATACCCCTCGTCCATTTAATCCCAAGAGGAAAAAAAAAAAACTACATTACAGGTAGTAAGTCTACAGCTACAACTGGCGTCACAATTTCTCTGGCTTACCAAGCTGGTTGTTAAATGAGTTGCGTCTGATTTTATGACCTTTTTGTCATTGTCGCTAAGCGAATCCCTACAGTTGTTACGCAAATGATGCAGTCGTTAAGCAAGTTCCGCCATCCCCCCGCCCCGCCCAAAATGACTTTCCTCGTAAAGTCGCAAACAGCGATCGTCAGAAATATACGTTGGTTGCCAAGCGCTCAAATGTTGATCATGTGACCCGTAAGGACGCCAAATAGTTGTTAAGCGCGAGGATTGGTTGCAAGTCATTTTTTTTTTTTTTAATTTGATTTATATGCCGCCCTTCTCCGGAGACTCAGGGCGGCTTACAAGGCGTTAAGCAATAGCCTTCATATTTTTGTATATTTTATACAAAGTCAGCTTATTGCCCCCACAAACTGGGTCCTCAATTTACCTACCTTAGAAAGGATGGAAGGCTGAGTCAACCTTGAGCCTGGCGAGATTCGAACTTACAGTGCCCTTATCACTTTGAACAGTTGCTCAATGAATGGTTGTAAGTCGAGCAGGGATTCAGCCGGTTCGTATCGGTTTGGGCGAACCGGTAGTTGTGACTTGCGGGTGGTCAGAAAGTGCTATGCCATCCTATTTAGCTGTGTTTTTTAAGCTGTGTGCAAGCGCGGGCATTTTCGGTACTGGGGCGAACCGGTTGTTAAATTATGTGAACCCCCACCTCTGAAGTCAAGGACTACCTGTATACGATAACCTGGTTGAGCAGGGGGTTGGACTAGGCATTCTCCGAAGTCCCTTCTAACTCTGTTATTCTCTTAATCTGTCTTTCTCTCTATGCTTTTACCCGTTAGAACGAGGGCACAGGCTTTTTCTGCACGTGTCCGGGTGGCAAACACCACGCACGACATACAACGCCTGACGCAAACGCACAAAATTTTTAACCAGGTTATATATTTTTGTTCAAGATTTCAAGGAAGACGTGGAAATGGGTAAACTTCGGTGCATAAAAGATGTCTCAAGATGGGGTTTGGCTTACCTGGAAAAAAAAAATAAGATCTGGTTTGCATGCAAAGAGATCTTAGGCCTTCAGGTGGGCTGAGAAAATATTTTCCTAAATCTTAAAGAGACCGCTGGTTTTTTTTTTTTTGTTTTTGTTTTTGTTTTTGTCAACAATATTCAGGTCCATCCACCAATTGAATAAGAACTCTTAAAATCCTGCGAGTTCAATTTCTCAGAAATCCTCTAGCTTAGTTCCATTTTTTTAGGTCTCCTGTTTCCTACTTAGTGGTTCACATCCCTTTTCCTTCCTGACGCGAAGCAAAACTAAATTTTTTTTTTCTTTAAATAACCCCAAGCTTCCAATCTGTAGGAATTATGCAAAATTATCTGATAGGCAGACGGGACGGTTTGCATAATTTATTTAAAGCAAATGTCCGGATTTCCTCTAGCAAAGGGACCAATGGAAGAGGTGGTGGTGGTTGGTTTTTTTTTTTTTTTTTTAAAAATAAGAATAAAATAAAATAGTCCAGGCTGTGTTTTAAAATCTGAGCATCAGGGTCTTGATGTTTTTGTAGGTGGGTTTTCGGCTTAAATTGTAGGCTGGTTAAAAGAGCTAGCCGAGGGGTGTCCAACCTTGGCTAATTTTAAGACCTGTGGATTTCAACTCCCAGAATTCCCCAGCCAATCATGGAGGCTGGGGAATTCTGGGAGTTGAAGTCCACAAGTCTTAAAAATTGTCAAGCTCTGACATCCCTGATCTAGAGGATTGGCTCATACCTCAGTGCGGCCATTTTTAAAGTCTGGTGTAAAATGTTTAAATTGGTAGTTTTTAACCTAAAATGTAAAAGGGCAATTTTTACTCCTAAATGTTTTAGTTTTCTGCCTTGCCGTTTCTGCTCAGGCTGTGTTTGTCAGAACCCAATGGAAGATGTGTGATGGGTTAAGGAACTGGGGTCCTTTAAGCAGAGAAAAAGCACATTAAAAGCACTATTTCCTTTTTACTGTTTGTCCATCCCAAGCAACAACGACCACGATTGAGTCCAAAATGTCGGTTGCTAAGCAAGCCAGTTGTTAAGTGAGTTTTACCCCATTTTATCTTCTTTCTTTCTTTTTCTTTCTTTCTCTCTTTCTTTCCTTTCTCTTTTTCTTTCTTTCTTTCTTTTTCTTTTTCTTTCTTTCCTTTTTTCTTTCTTTTCCTTCTCCAATTAAGTGAATCACTGCAGTTGTTAAGTTAGTAACACAGTTCTTAAGTGAAACTAGTTTCCCCATTGACTTTGCTTGTCAGAAGGCTGCAAAAGCTGATCACATGATCCCGAGACCCTTCAACCATCATAAATCCATGCCAGTTGCCAAGCATCTGAATTCTGATCATGATGCAACCAGAGGTCCTGCAATGGTTGTCAGTGAAAAAAACGGTCATAAGTCACTTTTTTACAGTGCCGTTGTAACTTCAGACACTAAATGAATGTTTGTAAGTCGAGGACTAGCTGTAGACTGGCTTAGGGAGCCTCCAGAATTTTAAACCTTGAATTTGTGGGACATGTCAAGCTTGAAGGATGCTGAAGAGAACACAAGGGGGGTGGGGAAATAAGTGGATTTCCTCATTTAGGTCAACATTTATTATGGGATAAGATGCATATTCCAGTTGGGGGAAAGGAACATCTGTAGGACGACTTAAGATGGCATCCTGCATCCTGCCCTTAATATGTACAATTCTACTTTTGTGTGTGTGTGGTTTTGTGGTTCTCCATGCCCGAAAGCCAAAGCCAGATCAACGTGGTTTGCTTCTGAGATTTTTGTACGGCTTGTTTCAAAAGGCTCCTCCTAGCACAGACAGGGTTCGGTTTACAGGGTATATACACAAACACACAAAAAAAACGCACTTACACAAACACACAAAAAAAACGCACACCTTGTTATATCTTCCTGTTTGTTATGTAGATCAGTTGGAGAGGATGCATATTCCTTGCTGAAGCTGGGGGGCTATTGAGAAGCACTGGAGGAAGAAATTTTTTGTCCCGTGCATTCCAAATGGCCTTACAAGCTTTTTTTTTTTTTCAATTGCAGAATTCAGCTGCAGAAAATGGTACTTGGGGTGGGGTGGGGATGGCAGGAGACTGGGAGGGAGGGGAAAAAAATAAAGGGGCAGGTGGGCTTTCTCCCCCTTTTTGACATCAATAATGCATCCTTTCCTAAGCCACAAGGGTTTCCCTTTCTCCTGTGTTCCGTTTCAATGAAATCTCCAAAGCACAAAAAAATCATGGTTGAATCATAATACGTCGTCGTTCAGTTAGGAAGTTTACTGACGCAACCCCAGTATTATTTTTTTGTTTAAATCCTTCTGATGTAAATTATGCCCGATGCCAGTTTACTCATTGGATTCGCCCTTCAAAGCATCCGAGAGGTGTCCAACCTTGGCAAAGTTTAAAACCTGTGGACTTCAACTCCCAGAATTCCCCAGGCAACCATTCTGGGAGTTTTTAAGTTAGTAACACGGTTGTAGAACTGAATCTGGCTTCCCCATTGATGCTGCAACCGTCATAAGTACATGCCAGTTGCCAAGCATCTAACTTTCGATCACATGACCATAGGGATGCTGCAATGGTCCTTAAGTGTGCAAAGTGGTCACAAGTCACTTTTTCCCCCAGTGCTGTTGTAGATTCAGTCACTAAAACGAACGGTTTGTTAAATCGAGGACTACCTGTATGCACTTCCTTGACTCTTTTGTCAGCTTAAAATTGTGCATAAATTAAGGGGATTGCCTTCACTCTCTTTTTTTCCTTGTGGCCCCAATCTCTCTGGTTTATTCCAACTCAATCCCATTCAGAGAATTCACCGATTCGATTCTGCTGGTGCGTGGCCAGTTTTTCTCAGCTCCGACGCCTTTATTTATTCTTGTTTCTAATTTCGTGCTTGGATCCAGAAGGAACCTGGTAAAATCCTGAATTTTAGAGGCTGCTTTTCATCCATGGGGGCAACTGCTTCAGCCACCCCATCCTCCGGATTGCACGGAATCCACTGTTAGGATTGCAACAGCTCTCCGAATGCCTAGATAATATGCCAGCTCTCGGCAAGGGTTAGGCTGTGCTAAAATCAGGGGCAGACCTTGAGATGGGGGAACAGGATGGGGCGAAGGGGGGGGGGGTTCCCATCCTGCAAGAGGCTATCTACCTGGGGGAAGTTGCTTTCTTTTCATTTTCAGGTCTTTGCGAAGGAAAGGAGTCAACAGAATCCAAGCCACAAGTTTATGTTCCATCTTTTTTTCTTTTTCTTTTTTCTTTCCCCTTAATGTGGTTGCCAAGCTAATTTTCTTTCCTGTTTTTAAGTATTTTATCAGATTTGTATATTCGGTCTTGGAATTTCTGTGTATTTAAAAAAAAAAATAATATTTTTAAAAGAATGGCACAAAGGGCACCGGAAGAGAATGGTCTATTATTTAAAACTGTACGATGTAAATTAAAAAGGTAAAAAAAAAAACATTACACTTAATGGAAGAAGTCTGAGGTTTGCATTCTTATCCTCGCCGCATACGGAGATGATTTCTTTTCCAGCAACAACATAAAGTATTCCCTTTTTTTTTTTCTACACCAATTTTAAAACTTTCATGATGTAATCCTTTTCTCCTGCTCCCCTCTAAAAACTTGGGGAAGACGGTAAACATCCGTTTCCTTGGATTGGAAAAAGCCACTGTCATCTAAGGCTAATAAACTAGTCATGATCATAAACAAAACTGACCCAAGTTACTAGTCCACAAGAGTCTGTTTCACTCTCAGTTGCAATCTTAAAACTCCACACTGACAAGCGCTGTAGAATTCTGTTTTGGTTGGTTGGTTTTACATAGTTACTTAAAATCTGAGTTCAGTTCCCATCCTCTACATCATACATCACACCCCTTGAATTCTTTTGGTAAATAGGCTTAGAATATTGTCACTTTGGATGGACACTAATCGGCACATATTAAATTGAAATTTCCTTGCCTTCAGTTCTCCAAGTTTCCACCTCCAATTGGAGAAAGGAAAACAAAATAATCATTATTTTATTTATCGATTAAATTTATATTGCCACCGTTATCTCGAGTGACTCTGGGCGGCTTACCATAGTGCTAAGACATAAATATAAAGGCATTAAAATTAAGATTAGCATTTTTTTTTTAATTTATTTGTTTTAATTTGTATACCGCCCTTCTCCAGCAGGACTCAGGGCGGTGAACAGCCAGAATAAAACAGAACATACAAAATTGAAAAACAGTTTTAAAATAATTAAATATTTTTGGGCGCAATTTAAACCAAACCCAATTAAAATCCATTAAATTTAACCAAAAACTGTGGGATCAAGCCAGCCCGGCTAGGTGCTGCAATAATCACATAGGGGGAAAAATGCTGTTCTAATTTTCTGATTTAATTTATATTCCTGCCAACTATCTCGGCTTAAAACATCAAAACATAGCATAAGACATAAAAACATTCGAAGCATTAAAATTAAGGTTGGCAACAATTAAATAGGAAAAAAAAAATATTTAGGGAATTCTTTAGCCTCTTAATACACTTGCGTGTATCAGAGTGAACGTGAACACCCTCTACACGCATGTTTGTGCATACACACGTGCAACCTATGCCTCCCCCCTGAGAAGAAAGCCCGGCGTCAAAGGAAGAACTCTGCACACGCTCAGAAACCCGCCTGCAGAGCGTTAGGAAGCGCCTCTTCCCGGGAAGCGCGTAAAAGAACCCGGCGGCCAGCTGTTCCTCCAAAGGCCGCCCCCGCAGCCGTCCGCGCGCTCTGATTGGTCGGACGATTGATACTTTTTTTCCCCCCTCCCGATACTCTCCTGTGTCTGGCACGTTGCCATAGTGAAGAGGGGGGCGTCAGCGAGGGCGCCTTCCCATTGGCTGAAGAGTGTCGCGGGCGTTCTGAGATGCGATTCTTTTTTTTTTTTTAAAGCCCTCACCGCAAGAAGGAACTCTCGATTGGCCGGAGAGAGAGAAACCCAAGCAACGGTGGGAGGAGCCTCCCCCCCCCCGCTCGGTTGCTATGATAGCTGTCGGCCAATCGCAAGCGCCGCGCCCGAGTTTAAGGGCGCCTTCGGATTGGCGACTCGCGGGTCAAGCCCGTGCTGTCATTGGCGGGCCTGGTGGGCGGTGTTTGACGTCTGTAACGAAGAGCCAATGGGGAAAGCCGCCTCTGCTGGAAGGGCGGGACTGCAGGGCTTTCTTGCGCGAGCGGCGATCGGTTCGAGGGGGGGGGAGATTCCTGCGGAGACATGGAGGCGGAAGACGTCCAGGGGTGAGCGGGGGCGGGGCCAAGGGGCGGGGGCGGGGCCTAGGGTCAACCAAGGGGGTGGGGGGGCCTGCTGGTGGGGGATTCCAGGGGACCTGCTGTCGCCCCCCCTTTCTCAGCCTGTCCTACCTCGCAGGGTTGTTGTAGAGAGAGTTTGCAAGAAGGAGCCCTATAGGGGCAGGAGGGGGCAGTGGAGCTCTTGGACTCTTCTCCCCTGCAGGCCACAGAAGGCTCTGGACAGGTTGCCCACTCACCCAGGGGCTACCACTGAGTCAAAGGCTTTACAGAAGTCTATGTAAATTGGGTCTGTTGCTTTGCCCTGGTCTAGTTGTGTAGTCCATATGTTTTTGCAGTGTAGGAGTTGCAGATTACAGAACGAATTCTTTTTTTTTTTTTTTCTGAAACCAAATTGTTTGTTAGAGAGTAGATTGTTTGTCTCTTTAAGTGGAGGGTAATGAATTCTGGGAGTTGAAGTCCGCCAGGCTTAAAGTTGCCAAGGTTGGAGACCTCTGCTCCAAAGGACCTGAAGGCAATACATGGAAACGAATCAAGGAGAGAAGCAACCTGGAACTAAGGAGAAATTTCCTGACAGTCAGAACAATTAACCAGTGGAACGACCTGCCACCAGAAGTTGTGGGTGCTGCAACAATGGAGGTGTCTGGAATGGTATAAACTTGGGCGGGGGAGGTGGGGTCGGACTAGATGACCTCCGAGGTCCGTTCCAACTCTGTTCTGTGTTCTGTAAAAGTTCAGAAGAGAAGGACTAGGCCAGGGTGACGTGATAGCAGCCTTCCAATATTTGTTTGTTTTGCTTTATGTTTGTTTTATTAAATTTATATACCGCCCTACTCCCGAAGGACTCAGGGCGGTGAACAGGCACAAAATAAAATACATAAATACAAAAGTTAGAAACATAATTAAAACCAAATTAAATAATTTAGCCCAAGACAATTAAAAATCCCAATAATTTAAAACAAATTAAAATTCCAATTTAAAAATTTAAAAGAAAGGGGAGAAAATTAGGCCAGGCCGGCTTGCTGGAATAGGAGGGTCTTAAGATTTGACAGAATATCCCCTCTCCCAGATGTCTATGGAGATTGTCAGTCATCCCAGTTAATGGCAACTGGACTGCCTTGGTTTCTCTTTAAAGACGTTTTGCTTCTCATCCAAAGAAGCTTCTTCAGCTCTGACTGGATGTTGGGGGGAATGAGCCAATCCGAGCTGAAGAAGCTTCTTTGGATGAGAAGCAAAACGTCTTCGAAGAAAAACCAGAAAGTCCAGCTGCCTCTTGAAAAAAAAAGCACCTGGGGGGACCCTATCCCAGATCCTTGGGAAGGACTCGATATAGGGGAATAAAAATACCAAATCCAGTCTAAACGGAAAGCTGCCTTTTGCAATGGCCTGGTCCTGATTTTATCGATGCCGACAGGATTCAAGTGATTTTGGGGATCGCGCCCAAAGGCGCCTAGGACGATTGGTACTATCTTGGCTTGATTGTGATCATTATTTGTAGATTTCCGTCAATAAAAACCTTCACCGAGGTGGCCGAAGCTGGGGTCTCCAGCCCTCGTTTCATGACGCTCTGCTCGTGGCTGGTTTCAGAGCTCCGAACCCTTTGTCGGCTGGAGGAGGACGTTAGCCCGGTGCAGGGTAGGTAGGCTCTTCCAGCTTTGCAGAGGGGAAAGGCGGTTTCAAGAGCCCAAGCGTGTGGCTTTGCAGAGATGGGACTTTGGACTGCGTATCAAGGCTACGAAGCACGAGAGAAACATAACTGTCCTAGATCACGGGAAAGAACGGAGAATACAAAGAATGTGGGGAGGGAGGAAGGGGAAGGAAAGGGTGAGGGAGGAGAGGGAAGAGAAGAGAAGAGAAGAGAAAAGTCAAGCAGGAAGGAAGAGGAAGGAAGGAAAGGAAAAAGTGGAAGGAAAGGAAGGGAAAGGAAAGGGGAGGAGGAAGGATGGAAGGGGAAGGGAAGAGAAAGGAAAAAGGGAAGGAAAGGAAGGGGAAGGAAATAGGAAGGAAGGAAGGAAAGAATGGAAGGGAAAGGGAAGAGAAGGAAGGAAGGATGGAAGGGGAAGGAAGGAAAGGAATGGAAGAGGAAGGAAGGAAGGGATGGAAGGGAGAAGAGGAAGGAAGGAAAGGGATGGAAGCGGAAGGGAAGAGGGAGGAAGGGAAGGAAGGGAAGAGAATGAAGGAAAGGGATGGAAAGGGAAGGAAGGAAACGAAGGGAAGAGGAAGGAATGGAAGAGGAAGGAAGGGGAAGGGAAGAGAATGAAGGAAAGGGATGGAAGTGGAAGGAAGGAGGGGAAGGAATGGAAGAGGAAGGAAAGGGAAGAGGAAGGAAGGAAGGGGAAGGGAATGGAAGACAAGGAGCTAGAAATGAGCAACTCAGAAAGGTTAAGAATGAGCAGAGCCTAAAGGGGAGGTGATAGGAATCTTTTTCTTTTTCTTTAAATCATTCTGATCCTAAAAAACTCTAAGCCATTTCCCCCGATCAGGACCTGAGGATGCCGAGACATTTCAGATCGAAATCAGCGGCCTCCTGGGTGAGCTGCATTGCCCGTATCCATCACTGACCACAGGGGACGTAATGGCTAGACTCAGCACCCGAGACCACTGCCTGCAGCTTCTGTGTAAGTGGACAGGGAACTACAGAATTGGTGCATCGCACTACGCTTAATCATGGTTTGTGAACTCAAACACAAGTGGCTCAATTCAGACAAGGCAGTCGGCCGTCAACCACGACTTACAAACTATCTTTATTCTATCCAGGTTCTGCCTGGAATAGCTGTGATTGCCAAGTTTCTTGAAGGTTTAATACCCAGAGGTGTTACAGTTGGGATCTCACGGTTTCCGAGTTTTGGGAAAGGAAACAAAATACAAATTTCTTGTGATTTAGTGTCTTTGCCTACGGTGGCAAACAGGCCTTGGGTTTTTGAAGGAGGTGGTTTTAGTTCAGGCTCTTCTTTTAGTTGTACTTTTCTTGCTTAATTAAAAAAGAAGAAGAAAGCTGTCAACATAGAGCCCCTGACTTAGTGCTATTCTGAATATTGAATAAGAACAAGCACACACCCTTCTAGAACTGATGATGTTACCTAGTTGGGTAATGAAATGTCTGCAAGAAAACGACCAAGCTCAGAGAGCACCAACAACCTTACAATCCTCCTCCTCCTCCTCCTCCCTGTTGTGGCCCGCCAGCAGCCTGCGCGGATCGTGGCTGATCCCAACGACGAGGAGGCTGGTGTGGGGTCGCGCCAGCAGCCTGCGCAGCCAGCGCTCGCGTCGGACAGCGAGGAGGCCGAAGAGGACGTGGTGCCAGAGGCAGAGACTCAGCCAGGGCCTTCAGAACCTCCAGAGGCTCCTTCAGGTGGAGAGAGCGAAGTGGAGGAGCCTCTCCTCAATGCTCGAGCACGCAGGGCTGCCAAAAGGCAGGAGTGGCTACTCAGGAGGAGGAGGTCTCCTCAAGAGTAAGGCCTGAGGATAATTGTAGTTTGTAGTTTTTAATATAAGGGCCACATTTTTAATATATTTTAAACTTTTAAAATTTTGTGGGTATATGTTGTTTTAATGTGGCTGTACACCGCCCCGAGTCCTTCAGGAGAAGGGTGGTATAAAAATTTTAATAATAATAATAATAATAATAATAATAATAATAATAATAATAATAAAATTGGCCATTCCCTTAGCCTATTCAAGTCACACACCGTTAGTAAGTTTCTTGCTGGAAACAACTTGTAATTATCATCAGAGCATTTTTGGAAAAGTCTTATCGTATCTTGTTTTCTGGGCTGGTTGCCAACCTTTGCCGGACTCTGGTTTATTCTTGCTACTTAATAAATTTGATAAGGACTGTTGGTGTGTGTCAATATCCTCTGGAATCCGGAGCTGGGGCAGAAAACTCCCAAACGCTTCTAGCTCTAATGGTGTTACCTTTTTGGGTAGTGAAACATCTGCAAGAAAACAGATATTTTAAAATGGATCTACTCCAGGCAGGGCTGGTCCCTCAGAGGCCACGCGTGCAGTGGGGGGTTTGGAGAACATACTAAGATGCACCAAAATGTTCCTCTTTTTTTTTTTCCCCTCCAACTCCCTTTCTTTCCCTTCATCCCAGATTTTTTGAGCTCGGAGCTGCTGGCTGCCCGGCTCCAGGCCAGGAAAACGCTTCAGTCAGCAAAGCAAGGTGACAGAAATAACCAAGCTCTGCGAGAACTTCATCAGATCTGCCAAACCCTGGGAATGCCTGAGCCAGACCCAGCTTCCTCTGTGGCTCAGGTTATGGAGGACATTGGATCCCAGGTGAGACTGGAAGCTCAGGCAGACCTGGGCTGGACAGGTAAGGTACTGGGAAGACCAGGGGTGAAATGCTCCCGGTTCGGACCGGATCGCCCGATCCGGTAGCAATGGCGGGTGGTTCAGAGAACCGGTAGCAAAAATCCCTGCGCCGCCCCTTCCCCCAATGCCCAGCTAAGCCGCGCGATCATCAGAGGCTTTTTTTTTTTTTTACTTTTAAAAGCATTTTTTCGGCCAAAGAGGTTGTAAAAAAAATGCTTTTAAAAGAAAAAAAAAAAAGTTGGCCATGCCCACCCAGTCACATTACCCCCCACCACCAAGCCACGCCCACAGAACCGGTAGTAACAAATTTTAGATTTCACCCCTGGGGAAGACCCTCTGTCCTTTTCAATGTCGAAAGCAGGGGTGAAATGCTATCGGTTCACTCCGGTTCGGGCAAACCGGTAGTAATAAAAACTACCATTCAGGTGAACCGGTACTTAAAAAAGCAGTCGTGGGCAGCGAACCGGTGGTGATCCGAGGAGGAACCGAGGAGGATTTCACCACTGGTCGAAAGGCTTAAAGAGTCTCAGCTGCTTGCCAAGACGAGGGATGGAAGGAGGGAGGGAGGGGACATGCCCTCGACTCGCAAACATTCGTTTAACGACTGAAGAAGCCAAGTTTTCACACCCCCTGGAATATCATCTCGCGCTCCCCGGTTGGGAACCCCTAACTACCTCTAGAATCTAGAGCCTCTACATCGTTTTTTTTCACACTGTGGCGATCAAAGCTGGATGCAGTACTCCAACTGTAGTCCTACCAAGGCTTTATCAAGTGGTATTAACACTTTAAAAGGGATGCGGCGGCTCAGTGGCTAAGACGCTGAGCTTGTCGATCGAAAGGTCGGAAGTTCAGGGGTTCGAATCCCGAGTGCCGCATCATGGGGTGAGCTCCCGTTCCTTGTCCCAGCTTCTGCCAACCTAGCAGTTCGAAAGCACGTAAAAAATGCAAGTAGAAAAATAGGGACCACCTTTGGTGGGAAGGGAACAGCGTTCCGTGCGCCTTTGGCGTTGAGTCATGCCGGCCACATGACCACGGAGACGTCTTCGGACAGCGCTGGCTCTTTGGCTTTGAACAGAGATGAGCACCGCCCCCTAGAGTCGGGAACGACTAGCGCATATGTGCGAGGGGAACCTTTACCTTTATTAACACTTTAGTGTGTTAATAATTGTGGTATTATCTGCTTCTTTCTAATGCCATGCTTCCTTCAGGTTTCAGAGGCGCTCGCTGCACAGGGGCCTGAGCCCCACTGGATGGCACCACTTCTCAAGGCCCCGTTGACCTCTGAGCAATGGGTAGGAGGCCACTAGTGTTGGCAGTAGAGGAGAAGGCGGTTGGGCTTTCTGGTTTGGTGCTGATGGGTCTTAAAATTCTCTGCTTCCCCTTTTGCTCTCTTTAAAATACCAGAAAGCGCTGGATGAGATTAACCAAGTGCTGGGCACCGAATACCAGTGCCGAAGACACATGATGCTGACCCGTTTCGACGTCACCGTTGCGTCCTTCCATTGGTCTGAGAGGGCCAAGGTAGAGTCCAGGAGCTCTTGTGTTAGCAGCATTGATTTCATTCCGAAACTGACTGACTAACTTCATTCATTCATTCATTTATTCATTCATTCATTTATTCATTCATTCATTCATTCATATCCCATGTTTTATTATTTTTTTAATAAGGCAGTGACTGTATCCAGCAAACCTTCCTTCTCCTATTTTCCCCACAACAACCACCCTGTGAAGTGGGGCTGGGCTGCGAGTGATAGGCCCAAGATCATCCAATTGGCTTGCATACTTAAGGCGGGACTGGAACTCTCTGTCTCCTGGTGTTTGGCCCAAAGTCGCCCACCTGGTTTTCATGGCTAACACAGAACTAGAACTCACCGTCTCCTGGGGATTGGTCGAAAGTCTCCCAGTCAGCTTTCATGCTTAAGGTGGAACTAGAACTCAATGTCTCCTGGTGATTGGCCCAAAGTCACCCAGTCAGCTTTCATGCTCAAGGTGGAACTAGAACTCAATGTCTCCTGGTGATTGGCCCAAAGTCACCCAGTCAGCTTTCATGCTTAAGGTGGAACTAGAACTCACCATCTGGTGATTGGTCGAAAGTCTCCCAGTCAGCTTTCATGCTTAAGGTGGGACTAGAACTCAATGTCTCCTGGTGAATGGCCCAAAGTCACCCAGTCAGCTTTCATGCTTAAGGTGGAACTAGAACTCACCATCTGGTGATTGGCCGAAAGTCACCCAGTCAGCTTTCATGCCTAAGGTGGGACTAGAACTCACTGTCTCCTGGTGAATGGCCCAAAGTCACCCAGTCTGCTTTCATGCCCAAGACAGAACTAGAACTCACTGTCTCCCTCTCTCTAGTCTAAAGCCTTAACCATTAAACCACACAGGAGTTGGGGAAGAGAGAACGCAACCGTCTCAAGGGTCTTGCCTGTTTTTCTCGTCTCTCGTTTCTGCTAGAACCAAAGCACAGCCATGTCCGAAGCCTTCCAACCTTTACGGAAGTCTTTGCCGGAAGATTCCCAGCTCCGCCTTTCCCACCTGCTGGCTGCTCGGGAAGACTTTTCTCGTATCGTGAAGACCAGCAGCGGCGCTTTGCGGAGTAAGACCAGTTGTGCAGTCAACAAGGTATAAGCTGGAAGGGACATCTGGGCCACCAACAGCTGGAGGGGGGAGGGAGGAGGAGCCCAAGGGGGTTTTCAGCTCTTCACAGCTTAGCCCACGGCCCAGTGCCAGGTCATGCAGTTCACTCAACAGACTATGGATTGGCGTAGCAAAACCCAGATGTTAACTTTTGCCTCCTGAAAGGAGTTGAATCTTGGGGTGGAGAGACCGAGGAGGGAGGAGGCTGGGGTCCTCTTCCTTCAGCCTTCCTTCCTTTCCTTCCTTCCTTCCTTCCTTCCTTCCTTCCTTCCTTCCTTCCTTCCTTCCTTCCTTCCTCTCTCCTCTCCTCTCTTCTCTTTCTTTTTTTCCCCTTCTTCCTTCCCATTCCTTCCCCTTCCATCCCTTTCCTTCCTCTTCTATTCCTTCCTCTTCCCTCGCGCTTTCGTCCCTTTCCTTCCTTCTCCTTCCTTCCTCTTCCCCCTTCCCTCCCCTTCCCCTTTTTATCCTTTCCTCTTTCCCTTTTCTCTTTTCCTCTCCTCTCTCCTCCCTTTCCCTTTTGTCTCCTTCCTTCCTTCCTCCCTCCCTCCCTCCTTCCCCTCCCACAGGTCTTGATGACGGGCAGCGTCCCAGACCGGGGAGGACGCCCAAACGAAATCGAGGCCCCCATGCCCACCTGGGAGAAGAGGAGAGAAGGAGGAGGAGGAGGAGGCGGCCAGCGCTGGGCTAAACGGGGCAAGAAAAAGAAGAAATAAGGGAAGAGGGTATGAAACCGGCTGCCGTGGGTTGCCGTGGCCAGAAAGTTCGAAATGAAGGAAGCGCCACGGATTCCCACCAAAAACGTCCAATTCTCAATCTCGCCTTTCTCCAGGATGGAGGCAGGGCACCGTTTAAATAAGGACGTGGTCTTTTGGCACTCCAGATATGCCATAATAAGGCCAACTCCCATCATCCAAAGATCACTCCGACTTTCGGAGAGGCCTAACTCTCCTAAGCTTTGGGGAAGGAAGGCTACGTGCCATAGCAGCTGGATTGCTTTAAAGGCAAGCGGGAAGCCGCAAAGCATTTGTTGGCTGTCTGAAATCCAAAATAAGTATTTTGTACTTTGTACAAAATACAAATAAGTATTTTGGGGATTTATTTTCACTCTAAACGTCACAGAATGGGGTGCCTGGCAGTAGAAAAGAGGACAAGCTCAATGGGCTTTGACTTAGATTTTTACTGTAAAGAAAGATTCCATATTAGGTATCTGTTCATCCGGAAGCAGAAATGCATGAGTCGTTTTGGGTGGGTGGAGGGGGTATTATTGGAGGGGGAGGTGCCTCTTTTCGGGGGGGGGGGGGGGGGGCGTTGAACAAGGAAGACTATAGAACACTCTTAAACTCCAGTCAACGTATCTGCTTAGTTTCCCTGGCTGGGGAATAAGGGAATTATTGTGGCTTATATATCTGGGAGGCCTAGGATGATCATATGTATTGGTGGCCCAAATGGCCTTCTGTATTTAAAAAAAAAAGGGGGGGGAAGGTGTCAGGTGTTGTTGTTTGGCGATGGGACAAATAGACGTGGTTGAAATTTAAACATGCTGAGATCGCTAGCACAGCTCAGATCTCTGATATTGTTCTCACTCAACCCAAACTCTTGCTGTGTAAAGATCCCTGTTGAAAATAAAACCTTTATTTTTTTTCTGCCTTCTGCTTGGTTGTGTAGAATTTTGGGCTGGGGAATTCTGGGAGTTGAAATCCATCTTAAAAGTTTGCTGACTAAGGGAATTCTGGGAATTAAAATCCACCTATCTTAAAAGAATGCTGGCTGGGGAATTCTGGGAATTGGAGTCCATCCATCTTTGAAGCTTACTGACTGGGGAATTCTGGGAGTTGAAATCCATCTTAAAAGTTTGCTGACTAGGGAATCTGGGAATTAAAATCCACCTATCTTAAAAGAATGCTGGCTGGGGAATTCTGGGAATTGGAGTCCACCATCTTTGAAGCTTACTGACTGGGGAATTCTGGGAGTTGAAATCCACCTATCTTAAAAGCATGCTGGCTATGGAATTCTGGGAATTGAAGTCCATCTTAAAAGCTTGTTGGCTGTGCAATTCTGGGAGTTGAAATCAACACATTTTCAAGCACGCTGGCTGGGGAATTCTTAGAACTGGAGTCTACCCATCTTAAATGCTTACTGACTGGGGAATTCTGGGAGTTGAAGTCCACCCATCTTAAAAAAGCTGCAAGCGGACCTCTCCTCATGGTAGCCTTGGTGACGCAGCAGACTAAAGTGCTGTTAAGTAGCACCAGCTGCCTGCAAGTTCAAATCTCACCAGGCTCAAGGTTGACTCAGCCTTCCATCCTTTTGAGGGAGGTAAAATGAGGACCCGGATTGTGGGGGCAATAAGCTGACTTTGTATAAAAAAAAGAACACCGCTTAGCGGGGGCCCGAAAGTCCTATTAAGCAGGTATATACAAAAGTATGAAGGCTATTGCTTAACGCATTGTCAGCCGCCCTGAATCTCCGGAGAATGGCGGCATATAAATCGAACCAATAAATAAATAAATAAATAAATTTTGCGGCCGGCCTGCATGATTGAACAACTGGCCATTCACCTTGTAATTTTTCTCAGGGATATTCAAACAGGTTACTTTTAGGTTAGGAATATTAATGCGGCTGGTATGAATTCTCCAAGTTGTGCTCTTTATTTACAAATCCCCAAAAGCTGCCAGAGCCATAAAATGGGGCAGCTCGTACATTTGAAAAAAAAAACAACAACCCAAAAACATAATAAATAAATTACAAATCCGAAGCTGCGTGGTAAAGGGGTCAGATTCGCACTGTTCCTTCTAGGACTGCGAAGACGGTTAACCAGAGAGATCCTCAGCTGGAAATTAACAAAAGAAAAGAAAAACCCCAACAACCCCAGGACAGCATCTATTCTCAGCTCCCAAAATTTTCTTCTTCTTTGCCGTTTTAATTTTTCAGCTGACGGCTTCCTCCGCCAGTTGCTTCTCCTGCTTCGGCACGTCGAGGCTCAATGCTTGCCCGCCGGGAATGCCCTCTTAAGTTCCTAGAGTTCGTGGCAGAGAGAGGTAAGCTGATTCAGATAAACCGAGGCGCGATTTCGTAGAGGGATCCCGGGCTGCCTGTTTTCAGGAGCCGTCTGTTCTCGGCTTCCAGCTGCGTGTAGCGGTTCTGAAGACTCCGGTTGGCGGTCAGCAGCCTGTCCCGTTCCTGCAGGTCAGAGCAAACGGTTTAGAGAAGGTGGCATCTTTTGTTCAGAACGGTGGGAGGCTGGCATGCTCTCTGAGCTTGGTTGTTGGGGAATTCTGGGAGGCGAAGTCCACACATTTTAAAGTGCCTGGGGTTGAGAAAAACAATGATGATGATGATTTCCCCAGTCAATATCCTCACCTTTTCCAGCTCCTTCACCAGTTCCAGGAGCTGCTTCTGGGTCTTGTTGCAACCATCCGCCGGCTGTCCCTCCTGCTCCTCAGCTGCCGGGGTAGCCTGCTCGGTCTGAGTGCTGGCATGTTTGACCATCCGGCTGCCCGGGCTGCTGGACAACGAGACCACGGGACTCTTGCCCTGTTCCCATCCTGGTGGGAAGAGAAACATGTCTTCCTCTGAGCCTGCAAGGTGAAAAAAAGGTTAGCCAGAGAATGGTTGTACGATCAATCCAGATTTTGGACGCAGGAGATGCTCTTGGGGCAGGGGTCAGCAACCTGCGGCTCTGGAGCCGCATGTGGCTCTTTCACCCCTCTGCTGCGGCTCCCTGTTACTCAAAATATGTGCCCCAACCGCCAATGTGCGACACCCGCTGGCACGCGATTTATTGAGCTTTTCAACCCCTGGTAGCCCAACCGTGGATAAATCCAAGAAAAGAAAAGTTTCAGAATGTTTAATTCAACTACATATCAGGGGTGGGATCTGCATTTTTTTACTACCGGTTCTATGGGCGTGGCTTATTTTGTGGGTGTGGCTTGGAGGTCATGTGATTAGGTGGGCGTGGCTAGCTGGTCAGTCATTTCTGGAAGGTCCTCGCACTTACGACCAATCCTCGCACTTACGACCCGACTCATTTGTTTGCTTTTAACACTGATCAGCTGTAGGGCGGCCCTTTGAAGCCCCGCGGCAAGAGTTTAAACAGTTTTTCCCCCTCTAGTCATCAGCTGGGACTCAGGAGGCAGCAATAGATTGGGGGTGGGGCCAAATAAAAGGTAAGAATAACGTCGGGGGGTGGGAGGGCGGGGGGGGAGAACCGGTTCGGTGACGTCATATCGTCACCTCTACCGGCTCGGCCGAACCGGACCAAACCGGGAGGAACCCACCACTGCTACATATGCTAGTTTTGTGGCCGCTCAAGAAATAGCCAGGCACGGGAAGGGTTTTTGTGGCTCCCGGTGTTTTCTTTTCTGTGGGAAACGGATCCAAATGGCTCTTTGAGTGTTGAAGATTGCAGACTCCTGTCTTGGGGTGACCATCGCCTCTTTGGCCTGGTAGTCTCTGAACTGGCTCATCTTCGGGTTGTGACACAGAACCTGGCACGGAATACTATAGGTCAGGGGTCTCCAACCGTGGCAACTTGAAGACTTGTGGACTTCCAACTCCCAGAGAGCAAAGCTGGCTGAGGAACTCTGGGAGTTGAAATCCACAAGTCTTTTTTCCCCAAGTTTGCATGAACAGGCGCCATACGTTCCACTACAAATAAAACTGATCAGATTAAACATGATTATTACATTCAATCAACTTATGTATTTCTAATAACGATACAATAGGTTACAATCTATCATTATTCGAATATTCCACCTATTTCTCGTTATTCCTTTGTTTTCGTCAAATAAAAATGTATACATTAATATTCCCTTTATCACTCGGAGTGATAGAAGTCCACAAGTCTTAAAGTTGCCAAGCTTGGATGGAGACCCCTGCTATAAGTTGTCTCCACAACCGCAACGGAGTCCGAAATTTCCGTTGCTAAGCAAGGCAGTCGTTAAGTGAGTTTTGCCCCTTTCTTGCCAGAGTTGTTAACTGAATCACGGTTGTTCAGTGAATCGGGCTTCCCTCTTGACTTGGCTTGTCCGAAGGTCGCAAACGATTATCACGAGACTCTCGGACGCTGCATGCCGGTTGCTAATTTTGCCGGCGAATTTTGATCATGTGACCACAGAGATGCTGCAATGGTTGTAAGTGTGAGAACCAGTTGCGAGTCACTTCTTTCAGCGCCATTGTAACCTCGAACAAGTGCTAAACGGAATTACCTGTACAGGTAATCCTTGGCTTACGACAGGGGTGTCAAACTCAATTTCATTGAGGGCCACATCAGGGCTTTGGTTGACTGGATGGGTCAACTGGGTGGGCGTGGCCAGCTCGATGCCACTCCGGGCCAAAGCGATGCGAGCCGGCCCCTTACATTTTCCAGGACAGCCCCGCAGGCTGGATCCGACCACATCACGGGCCGGATCTGGCCCGTGAGGGCTTTGCGTTTGACCCACCTGGTTTACAATCATAAATTGGGACCAGAATCTCCATCACTAAGCACGGTGGTTGTTAAGCGAGTCGTGCGTGTTCATTTTTATTTTATTTACCGTATTTTTCAGAGTATAAAATGCACTTTTTTCCCCCCAAAAAAGAGGGTGGAAATCTGGGTGCATCTTATATTCCGAATGTAGCCCCGCCCAGCTTCTCAAATGGAGGTTGCAGAGGCTGAAAAAAGCATCCGAAACGAAGCTTCAGAAAAAAAGCCTCCAAACAGAGCTTCAGAAAAAAAGCCTCCAAACAGAGCTTCAGAGGCTTTTTTTCTGAAGCTGTTTCGGAGGCTTTCAGACGCAGAAAAGAAAGTTTTTTCTGAAACAGAGTTTCAGAAGTTTCAGAGGCAGAAAAAAAAAAAGCAAAAAAAAAGCAAGGCACAGAGCTCACAACCGAGGAACTTGTTGCTAAAATTCACCTCTGGGAACAGCTGATTGGGGGCCGATCCACCTGCCAATCAGCTTTCTTCTTATTTTCCTCCCCAAAAACTAAGGTGCGTCTTATACTCCGGTGCGTCTTATACTCCGAAAAATAAGGTACTTTTTTTTAACCACCAATGGCCACGTACCAGAGCTGGGATGGTAACTCATAGCTAGCGTGGCTGTGGAAGTGCGCGGTGTGCTGTCCGAGGAGGAGGAGGAAGAAGAAGGGAAGCGGCGGGTGTGACACTCCACCTCTACGTGATTCTTGCAGTGTTTGTGACAGATCATGGCACAATCTGGAGAGGATCACAACAACAACAACAAAAGGCTTCAGATCAAAGCAACGAGAAGATGAATTGTCACCGCCCCCCCCTTCCCATGGCTCCTGCTGCTCCCGGTCTTCTCCAGCCTGGTACTACAATACCCATAGGGCTGGGTCAAGGCACTTTTATTGCTTCAGTATTTAAGCAGCTGCCCAGAGACACATTTTTGTTTCTCCCGATGCAGGAACGTGACTTAAGGGGGTGAAACACCAAATAAGGTTGAGATGAGGTCAGGAAAACACTCGATTATAATTTCCGTTACGGTTTTTAAATTCAATAGCTGGAGCAGCCGGGTTGTACAATGATCCAGAACACACAGTTGTGATTCATTGGTACCAAAGTGTAAAGGGGGAGTATCTTTCTTTTTTTCCCCTGCCTTTTTTTCCTGTGTATGTGTAATTTACCTCACAATCCTGTGGTATTGATTTACACCTCAGGATGTTTATCTATCTATCTATCTATCTATCTATCTATCTATCTATCTATCTATCTATCTATTTTATTTATTTATTTATTATCTATCTATCTATCTATCTATCTATCTATCTATCTATCTATCTATTTATTTATTTATTTATTTATTTATTTATTTATTTATTTATTTATCATATCATATCTATCTATCTATCTATCTATCTATCTATCTATCTATCTATCTATTTATTTATTTGTCATATTTCTATGCCGCCCACTCTCCGAGGACTCTGGGCGGCTTACACCAAAGACGGTATACTAAATAGCATATTGCCCCCCCAACAATCTGGGTCCTCATTTTACCCACCTCGGAAGGATGGAAGGCTGAGTCAACCTTGAGCCTGGTGAGATTTGATCCGCTGATCTGCTGAACTAAGCAGTCAGCTGAAGGAGCTGCAGTACTGCACTCTAACCACTGCGCCACCTCGGCTCTTTTGTTCCTGTTTGCCTGACTATTCAGCTTGGTGTATATGTAGGTTGAAAAATATATTTATTTATATTTAAAAACTACGAGCTGGTGTCAGCAACTAGGACTTCATTCGGACACCGGCTGACAAATAGATGAATTTCATCTTGTTATTGTTAGCATTATTCTCCGGCTTACGATAGGCTCCTGGGTGCTCTACATCTTGGTTATTTTCTTGTGGACGTTTCATTACCAAACTAGGTAACATCATCAGTGTTAGAAGGATGTGGGGTTGGCTAACCCTTAACCCCATTTAAGACCCAATGGCAGCTGTCCCAATTCCGGGGGGGAGGGGCCTCCCACCTCCTCGGATTCACGAAAGCAGTTGTGCTGACCCAACAGAGCCCAGTAGAGGGCGCACTCACCCCTGCATCTGTATCCTTGCTTGGAGACTCCCCATAGCTACATCAGGAAAGGAAGGGGGGGAAAAAATGTCATTTTAGTTTGGGAAGAGCCCCTTGAGACCACATTTGGAGGATGCAAACAGTTCTATAGAGTTTCCCCAGCCATTTCTTGCACGGATAGATAGTTTATTTCCATTTCATCTCCTTGTGGCTTCCTTTCCCAGGCTTAGAGTCGCCCATCTCCAATATACAGTATATCTTGGTTAGAGAGGTTTCCTCGTTCAGTTGTTTGCAGTCCCCAGAGTCGGCTTCCAACAGGGTTATGGCTGGGGAATTCTGGGAGTGGAAGTCCACATCTTTAACTTGCTCAGCGTGAGGAGCAGAGGTGGTATTCAGCCGGTTCGGACCGGTAGTGGAAATCGCATGCCGTCCTATTTAGGCACATTTTTGAGGCCAGGCACATGCGCATAAGGTATGCGCCCTCACATTTGCGAACCGGTAGCGAAAATTAAGTGAATAGCACTAGTGGTGAAATGTAAACTTTGTTACTACCGGTTCTGTGGGTGTGGCTTGGTCGGGGGTAATGTGACTGGGTGGGCGTGGCCAACTTTTTTTTTTTTTTTTACTTTTAAAACCATTTTTTCTACAACCTCTTCGGCCGGTAAAAAAAAAAATGCTTTTAAAAGCCTCTGACGATCCCAGCTGAGTTGCCTGATCTTCAGAGGCTTTTTTAACTTTTAAAACCAATTTTTTCTACAACCTCTCCAGCCGAAGAGGTTGCAAAAAAAATGCTTTTAAAAGCCTCTGACGATCCCAGCTGAGCCGCGCGATCATCAGAGGCTTTTTTTTTTTTACTTTTAAAAGCATTTTTTCGGCCGAAGAGGTTGTAAAATAAATGCTTTTAAAAAATTTTTAAAAAAACCTCTGATGATTGTGCCGAACAGCTGGGCATGGGGTGGGCAGGGATTTTTGCTATCGGTTCTCTGAACCACCTGCCGCCATTGCTACCGGATCGGGTGATCCGATCCAAACCGGGAGCATTTCACCCCTGAATAGCACCTCTGGTGAGCAGCAATGTTTTAGAACAGTCTTTGTGCTTATGCAGGTAGCTAGATAACAGGAATAAGGCATCCTTGAAGATACTCTGGCCTCAAATCGCTCTTCTTCTAAAAAAACCAGCATGTTCCTAGTCCTGATGGAGGGCCTAGAAGGCTGAGAGACTAGTAGGGTAAGTAGTCTTTCCAATATGGAGGCTAACACAGATGAAGAACGGTTGCAGGAATTGGATATGTCTGGTTTAATGAAAAGAAGGACTAGGGGTGAGATGATGGCAGCGTCCCAATATTTATGGGGCTGACATAAAGAAGAAGGGGTCAACCTGTTCTCCAAAGAACCAGAAAGCAAGATAGGAAACGATGGATAGAAACTAACCAAGGAGAGAAGCAACCTAGAACTAAGGAGAAATTTCAGGACAGTGAGAACAATTAACCAGTGGAACAACTTGCCACCAGAAGTTGTGGTGCTCCAACATTGGAGGTTTTTAAGAAGAGTTTGGACACCCATTTGTCTGAAATGGTACAGGGTGTCTGCTGAGCAGAAGGTCCGACTAGAAAACGAGGCCCAAGGTCCCTTCCAACAAGGAGGATGAGGAGGACAGAATCTAGCTGAAAAATTTCCCTTCTACCACTACTGGCTTTGGGATACAGGTGCTAACAATGGGCAATCCCTTCAGTTGTTTTCATTTCTTAAGTTGTGCAAAAACATCTCGTGATCTTACATTTCCAGCGGTCATTTCTGCCAATGCAAAATGCGGGGGGGCGGGGGGTTGGATATCGGGAAAGGTGTGTAAACTTACAAAGCCACCGCAGTGGTCGCAGAAGGTGGGTTTTTTAAAGGTGACCTCTTGGAAATCATGCAAGACCACATGGCCCAGCTTGGAGAAGATGGCGCAGGCCCTCATGAAGTACTCTGAGAGGTTGTCTCGATTCCAGGTTCCTTCCCTGTGATAAAGAGAGACAGTTTGGTCTGGTGGTTAAGGCTAGAAACTGGGAGTCTGGGAGTTCTAGTTCCGCCGTGCCCATGAAAGCCATTTGGGTGGCTATATAGGCCAATCACCACGTGACAGTGAGCTCCAGTCCTGCCTTAGATATGAAAGCCAGCTAGGTTGAGTTTGAGTCAATCACTAGGAGATGCTGAGTTCTAGTACCAGCTTAGACCTAAAAGCCGGCTTGGTGACTTTGGGCCAATCACCAGGGGAAGTGAGTTCTAGTTCCACCTTAGGCATGAAAACTGGCTGTGTGATTTTGGGTCAATCCCAGGAGACTGGGAATTCTAGTCCCACCTTTGGAATGAAAGGCAGCTACATGACTTTGGGCTAATCACCTGGAAACAGTGAGTTCTAGTCCCGCCTTAGATATGAAAGCAGCTACCTGGGGAATTCTGGGAGTTGAAGTCGACATCTCTTAACATGTTGGAAAAACACTAATTTAAATTACTTGGGTATAATCGGTTGCTACTATCCTGAATTGTATGTTTAGGCCACGGGTCATTTTCTGTCTCTAGCATTCATAAGCACCTAGAAATCACATGTGAAGACCTCCAAGGTCCCTTCCAACTCTTATCCTATTCTGAAACCATACTCAGTGCCTACACCCACTGATACATCCAATGAAGCGGTATATAAGTCTAAATGCTATTGCCCTTCCTTCCTTCCTTCCTTCCTTCCTTCCTTCCTTCCTTCCTTCCTTCCATCCATCCATCCATCCATCCATCCATCCAACGTTTGCAGTGGTTAGAATGCAGTAGTGCAGGCTGACTCTGCCCACTGCCAGGAGTTCAATTCTGACCGGCTCAAGGTTGACTCAGCCTTCCATCCTTCCAAGATCAGTAAAATGATCAGTAAAATTGTTGGGGGGGGCAAGAAGCTGACTCTGTAAACCGCTTAGAGAGGGCTGTAAAAGCACTATGAAGTGGTATATAAGTCTAAGTGCTATGACTATTAACGACAACCTGGCCGGGTCTCCTTTCCACGCAACCCCGGTGCTTACCGTTCTCTTTCCAGGCCATAGAAGGAGAAAGGGAAACTCATCGAAATGGTCTCGAAATCCTCCTGAGAGATGCAACCTCGTTGATCAGGATCGTAATTCTTGAACACGGACTGGTGGAAGAAGAGAAGGGTAGAAACACAGCCATGGAGACGCAAAAGTCTACAGAGGAATTTATTGACTAATAGAAGAGAAGAGGTACAGCTCAGGGTTGAACGGTGGAGTCCTCGGTGCTCTCTCGGCTTGGTTTTCTTGGAGACATTTCATGACCCAACTAAGTAACAACTTCAGTGTTAGAAGGGAGTGGGGTTTATTCTCTGTTTGTCGGAAGCCGGCTGGGAAGGTTACAAATGGTGTTCGCATGACCCCAGGACTGTGCCCCTGTCATAAATACAGGTAGTCCTCGAGATACCACCACAATTGAGCCCAAGGTTTATGTTGCTAAGCGAAACATTTGTTAAAAGTGAGTTTCGCTCCATTTTACGCCTTTTCTTGCCGGAGTTGTTAAGTGAATTGTTGCATGTGTTAAGTTAGTCACACGGTTGTTAAGTGAATCTGGATTCCCCGTTGGCTTGTCAGAAGGTCGCAAAAGGGGAGGGGTCACGTGACACACACACACACCCCCGGGACTCAGCAACCGTCGTAGATGTGAACCACTTGCCAAGCCTCTGAATTTTGATCAGATACTGCAAGGGTTGTAAATGTGAAAAATGGTCGCAAAGGCAAGTCACATTTTTTTTTCTCAGTATGTCTTAACTTCCAACGGTCACTAAATGGATGATTGTAAGCTGAGCTACTATTTGTAATTTTCACTCAGGGGAGATGGCTCAGTTTCCTAGAAATTGCATGCTTTTTATGCATGCAAAACGTGCTCTTCAGCTACCACCAATTTCCGTTTAGCACTTTAGAAGTCTATAAGGGTGATTGAAAATAAATCTTTGACTTTCAGCCTGCCCTATTTCTTTCTTCGCCACATCCTCTTTTTCCCAAATCTGTGACCTACGTGCTGTTCTCAGTTCCCTCCCCATCCCCAAGATTGGGGTGCAGTCCTGTGTAGATTCTCAACATCCCCAAATCTCCTACGCAAAGTAGGTTTGGGCCTGGCCAGGAAAGTTCCTTATTTCTCCTGCTGTGATTTTCAAAAGACTTGCAGCTCTTGAGACGCAAAAAAAAAAAAACAGCTAAACCGTAGTAGTTCGGAGAGAAAAGGGGTTAAATTCTTCCCTCTTTCGGCAGTGCTGAGGCTACTTGATAAAAGTCACCCCAAATTTCTTTGCTATTTGTAATGGTGTCTGTGGAAATCTCTTGGGTTTATATAGGAGTATCTAAAACCATCATCTGCTATTTTGACACTATTAGGCAGTGCTTCTCAATCTGGTAACTTTAGGACGTTCAGACTTCAACTCCCAGAATGCTGCAGCCAGCAAAGACGTTCAGATTTCAACTCCCAGAATTCTCCAGCCAGCAAAGACGTTTGGACTTCAAGTCCCAGAATTCTCCTGTCAGCAAAGACGTTTGGACTTCAAGTCCCAGAATTCTCCAGCCAGCAAAGACGTTCAGATTTCAAGTCCCAGAATTCTCCAGCCAGCAAAGACGTTTGGACTTCAAGTCTCAGAATTTTCCTGTCAGCAAAGACGTTTGGACTTCAAGTCCCAGAATTCCCCAGCCAGCAAAGATGTTGGACTTCGACTCCCAGAATTCTCCAGCCAGCAAAGATGTTGGACTTCAACTCCCAGAATTCTCCAGCTAGCAAAGACGTTCAGATTTCAACTCCCAGAATTCTCCAGCCAGCAAAGATGTTGGACTTCGACTCCCAGAATTCTCCAGCTAGTAAGGACGTTTGGACTTCGATTCCCAGAATTCTCCAGTCAGCAAAAGCTGGCTGGAGAATTCTGGGAGTTGAAGTCCACATGTCTTAACATTGCCAAGGTTGAGAAACACAGCTTTAAGGCGCTATTTAGCAATATGGAATATGAGTTAGGGGAGGGGGGGGCTTGGATGTGGACCCCTCTCTGCAAGCTAATGAAGCCTGGTGTTTGCTTTTCTTCTCTCTCTCTCCGTTAGCCATGCACAACCTTGTTTTCAGCAGCGTGTTTTATTTGCAGAAGAGGATGTGGTTGGAGTGGCCGGATTTGAGCTTCTTCCTTTAACAGAAAAGGAGGGGTGCTGGGTGGAAAAGGGGAGGAGAAAAGCGGGAACTGGACTTGGCCACCGTGGGGAGGGGGGGTGTAAGCACCGATTGAGGCCATAATGTGACAAAATGCCAGGCTGACTGATGTGCCACAGATGGGGTTTGAGAGAGAGCTGATGATGTTACCTACCTGGGTGATGAAACGTCTGCCAGAAAACCACCAAGCTCAGAGAGCACCAAGGACCCCACAGTCCTCCTCCTCCTCCCAAACCCTTCTAACACTGATGATGTTACCTAGTTGGGTGATGAAATGTTGGCAAGAAAACCACCAAGCTCAGTCGCCATTGGCCTCCTCCTCCTCCACTTCATAAAACCCCACTCCTTTCTAGCACTGATGATGTTACCTAGTTGGGTCATGAAACGTCTGCAAGGAAACCACCAAGCTCAGAGCCCACAGTTCAACCCCGAGCTACGTATGTTCTCTTTTCTCGATTGCTTTGATTGTCCTACCTCCACCATCTGCTGGACGTGCCTCTTGACGGCGAGACGATCCGACTTGTTGGCTACTCTGGGCGCCCACTCCACAACCACCGGGGGCTTGAAGTGGGTGGACGGCTGCGAAGAAAAAAAAAAAAAGGAGAAGAGAGCTTTAAGAAATAGGACCCTCAGGGAAGACTCGGGCCTTCCTCAGGCCTTTGTCCTCCTCTTACCAGCAATTTGAGGCAGCGAGGTTCACGAGAGTACGAGAGGGCGTAGATTTCCTCCTCAGAGTAGTAGAGGTCCAAGGAGAGCTGGAAGGCAAGAAGGCATTTTAGGGCAAAAGAAACACACCAGAGACCCCAACATCTCATGAATGTTGGCCAAGAACCATTGCTATTCTGATGACAGCTGGTGCACAGTCCCTGTCTGGCTCGTATGGATTGCTTTTATTTTGAAGCATTTTTTAAATATATATATATGTATGTATGCATTGCTTATGCACCTTCACAGCCTTCTTGGTTTGGTCCTCCACAACAGTCTCAATTTCTCAGGTGGCCCCTTGGGAAAATTAATTCCCTGTTCTAGGTGGTTGAACGGCCTAAGCAAAGGCCAAATAACATCTCTCCTTTTGCCCCAGGCTTACTAAAGCAAACGGCCATGGAACCTCCAGAAAGAAGGGGGCAGCCCCCTTGAGTGAATCGAGACCCCCAAGGCCAGAGTGGTTCCTGGTCCATCTTTCTCCTACATTTGGTTCCCATCTCCCATCCTGGATAAGCTGTTTGGGGTGACTTCCTCCTACAGCAGTGTTTCTCAACCTTGGTAGCTTGAAGATGGGTGGACTTCAACTCCCAGAATCCCCCAGCCAGCGCTGCTGGCTGGGGGATTCTGGGAGTTGAAGTCCACCCATCTTCAAGCTACCAAGGTTGAGAAACACTGTCCTACAGCCTCCTGCAATGACAGTCCTCATTACAACATTACAGTCCTTTTCTTAACCCGTGATACTGCAGCCTGTGCCATCTTGGCTGGCACCGGGTTCAAAACTCCCATCCTGGTGAACAATAGACCGGAAAGGATGGGAGTTGTAATCCAACGGGTCTGGCTGCCGATCGAGGGTTGCGAAGATTCCCTAGGCGGCCTGTCGTCGTGCCTTCACCCTGCCTGGGTTGCTAAGCAACATCTGCATCACCGTGCTCTGTGGCCCTGCCCACACTGGCTGCTGCTAGGCAACCAGGCATCCTGGGTTAGGACGCATAAAGGCCCGACCATCTTTTCGGCTGCCAGCCGGGCCCATATTTCTGTAGCAAGAGAGTCAAGAGAGAATGCAGCCATTTGGGTGACTGAGTCAACCCCACTAGGCCCGGGGAAAGCAGGCCCAGCCCTCTTTGCCTGTAGTGGGAGGCGGTTGCTAGGCAACCCTGCAGCTCTGGTAGACTCTCCTCCTGGAGGAGAGGTTTCTAAGCAACACCATCGGCTGGAGGCCTGTAGAAGAGATGGTTGCCTGTTGTTGGGCCCCGGGTCCGACCAAAAGGCAGTATTTGAAGGCCTGCCACCCTCTGCACTTCCCCATCTGTGTGTCAGACAGTATATAAATAATATAAATAGTAATATATTGATACGATATCATAGGCCACACAGTCCTGGTAGGGACATCTGCGACGGCCTATTTTCTGACAGAACAATTAATCCATGGAATAGTTGCTTCCCAGAGTGTGGCAACGTCATCACTGGAGATTTTCAAGAAAAATACTGGATTTTCAAGAAAAAGAAATATTATCCAGGATGGTATAAGGCAGGAGTCCCCCAACCTTTTGGGCACCAGGGACTGGTTCCATGGAGAGAGGTTTTTCCGTGGACCAAAAAGGGCGTGGTTTCGTGTGCTGCCTGCTTGCGTGGCCCGGTTTCTGGCATACCACAGACCGGGGGCTGGGGACCATTGGTATAAGGTCTACTGCCTTGGTCAGGGAGTTGGAGTAGAAGACCTTGAAGATCCCTTCTAGCCGTATGATTCTATAAATGCTGGCGGGGAAAAGTCCATATTCTTCTAACATGGAGATTAACCATGGTTTAGTTTGATTCCAGTTGATTTCCTTCAAAAGCAGCCAAAAGGACTCCCTTCAACCAGCCCCCCGTTCGACCACCTGCATCTCAGCCTGCCCATCGACCCTCCTGTGGTCTCCATGAGTTCTCCAAGGATCTTTCTTACCGTCAGCAGGTGCACCAGGTCCTTGTTGGCTTCAAAGGGCGGCTGAGCCCGTTGCTGCAACCGGAATTCCCACACCGGCTCATAGAGCCTCTGCAGTTTGCTCAAGTTGAGACGTCCACCCTCAACGCGGTCTGGGAGGGCTTCGTGCAAGGTCACCAGGTCCTTGAGGTGGACTCCCACAATGGGGATCTTGAAGTCTTTGCAATCGGCGTAGGCCCGACGGTACGCCCCATAGTTTCCACTTGACGAAAGCAGTTCGGTCATTTCGGCAAGCACCTGCGCGAAGAAGGGAAAGCCAGGTTCCAGAAAAGAAAGGATAAATCCCATTTTAACCCTCGAGCAACACACCCCTTCTGAAGAACCCCTTTCCAAAACGAATTCATGGATTCGCCTTTTTCTTGGCGTCTGACATGCAAAGTCCATGGGGAGAAGCCAGATTCATTTAATTTAACAATTTAAGAGTCCCTTAACTGTGAGAAAAAAAGATTGCAAAATCTTTTTTTGGTTGCTAACCAAAACTTAACTGTCTTGGTTAGCAACGGAAATGTTGGGCTCAATTGTGGTCATGTGAGGCTCTACCTCTACAACCACCTCATACTGAGGGGAAAAAATCATACTAATGGGCTCACCCAACCTCCAGATCCCATACCTGAAAGAACACCCAGCTCTTCAAGGACTTGGCATGAGATATGGCATCCTGTAGATCTGGGGTCTTCAACCTTGGCAACTTTAAAACCTGTGGACTTCAACTCCCAGAATTCTCCAACCAGCATTGGAGTTGAAGTCCACAAGTCTTAAAGTTCCCAAGGTTGAAGACTCATGTTGGAGACGGTCAAGAGCCAGGATACTGATGTGGACCATGGCTACCTTTGGGATACCTCACCGAGGCGAAACACCTCCTCTCTTTTGTCCTCGGGAGGGCGCTTTCCTTACCTTGGTGACCTCGGAAGGTAGAAGCGCATGGGTCTCCTTGAGGCGAGCAATGGTGCTGTGGCAAAGCCCTCCCACAATTGCCATGAGCGTGTTGAAGTTCTGCAGCTGCCTTAATTTCTGCAACAAGAGGACAATCCAAGAGAGGCTCTTTAAGCAGATCACAAGCGGAAAGAGTTGGCTTCTTCAAAGGCTCCTCAACATTTGACGGGAGCTAATTTTCAAACCTGGATACCCACACGGGCGTCATCTTTTAGAAATATGGGAGAAACAATCTGGGTTTGATAAGCTTGGAAGAAATGTATTTTGACCGTAATCACCGTTTGCAATCTTTCTAGCTGGCTTCTGACAAGCAAAGCCAACGGGGGAAGCTGGATTTATTTAATGACTGCACGATTCACTTCATCACCGTGGCAAATCAAACCGTAAAATCGGGTAGGACTTATTGAACAAGCTCCTTGTTTAGCAATGGAAATTCCCAATTGTGGCCGTGAGTTGAGAACTACCTGTATTTTCTAACTGACTGAATACAAAATGTGACAAATATGTAACTGCGTGGAAGAAGTCATTTTGGAGCCAGCTGCCAGAAAAAGCCAGAAAAAGCTCTCGCTGTCAAGTTTCCGAAAGATGCCCTAATTAATTCATGAGCCATGATCCAAACTTCAAAGGAAATATAGCCATTTATTAGGAGCAACATTCCGGCAATACTCGGATGCAGTCAGGACTGACCCCACATAGATTTACGTTCCCCTATGACCCTGTCTCTCCCCTCCCCCCTGGCCATGTCATAAATCACATTCTCCAATTAACCACTTTGGCTGGCTGTGAAACCTAACGCCCTCCTTCTGATTGCAATCAGAAAAATGTATGGAATTCACTTCAGTTCTCCCTCCCTCCTGCTCATGGCAACTTGAAAGCTTTGCAAGTTGACACTCGCATCTTCCCAGTGGCAGCCAATTTGATCAATCTAGTTTGAGAACTTTCCATCTGGACCTTACTGAGCCATTTGTCAGGAATGGTAAAGGGTCTCCTGCTTGAGCAGGGGGTTGGACTAGAAGACCTCCAAGGTCCCTTCCCTTCCCAACTCTGTTACTCAAAGGATACAAGCCATCAACTTCTATCAGCAAAGCTCAGATTCATTTTAGGTCCAAGCTAATGCATCATTTCACTATGGACCTCTCTGGATCATCATCTAAATTCCTGGGTCTCTGCCCACAACAAAATTCCCCTCCTAGGCCACCAGCTCAGAGCTACCTCATACTCCAGGCATCGTAGACTTTTATAAAATAAATAAGGCAAAGATTCCCATGCACATACATGCTAGTCATTTCCAGCTCTAGGGGGCGGTGCTCATCTCCATTTCAAAGCCGAAGAGCCAGCGCTGTCCGAAGACGTCTCGGTGGTCATGTGGCCGGCATGACTCAATGCCGAAGGCGCACGGAACCCTGTTCCCTTCCCACCAAAGGTGGTCCCTATTTTTCTACTTGCATTTTTTACGTGCTTTCGAACTGCTTGGTTGGCAGAAGCTGGGTCAAGTAACGGGAGCTCACTCAGTTACTCAGCGCTAGGGATTTGAACTGCTGACTGCCAACCTTCTGATCAATAAGCTCAGCTTCTTAGCCACTGAGCCACTGCGTCCCCACGATAAAATAAATAGTGAGGATCAAACTTCCATCTGCTTAAGATCCACCTCTTCTGCTCGGGAGGTGGCCCAGAAAGAACATTTCTTACCCACCCCACCATACAAAAATGCAAGCAAACTCATGCATTCTCCACCTTCACATCGGTTTTGCCAATTGACGTCACCTCCCCACCATCCAACCCCAGAGAAGGTGTCTCCATCAGTGTTTGTCTAGGCAGAGCGACCATGAAAGGAACAGGAATGTCCTTTTGTGTCTCTTCCCCCCACTGCACGGCCCAAGCCCCCCCACTTCTGTTTCTTTCCAGTGAGGAACTTACCTGTGTCACATGGATGAATTTGGTGAAGACTTCTGCTCGCTGCTGGGGTGTGGGACGCTTCAGGATCATCACTTGCACCCACTGGGAGATGCTGTTGAACAGAGTAATTGCGCGTTCCAGGGCTGAGATTCCATGCACAGATCCACGCAGCACGTAATTCTGGAAATCCAAGTACTGCCCAACATACAATTATAAAAGGTAAGAACCGGTCTTGCTGGAGTAAACCGAGTCCTAACTAAATCCAAGGTTCTGTTTTCCGGATGACTCATTGGGGAAGCCACTTTGAAGTCAATTAAGGGACACCCAGTTTGCATTTTTTTTCCGTTCACCGCTTTTGAGATGGATTGACAGTGGGAAGGAAAGGCCTTCCACATTTGTGGGAATATTCTTGTACACTTCTAAAAAAACCCATCTCTTACGACTATTGCTTATTATTTACGGTGATGAGAATTTCACCACATTTCAGCCATAATTCCCTTCCCTTCCCTTCCCCACCATTCAGTCAGAGCTGAAGAAGCTTCTTGGATGAGAAGCGAAACCTCTTCAACAAAAAACAAGAAAGTCCAGTTGCCTCTTGAAAAAAAAGCACCTTTGGGACAACCATGACCTGGATGATTGAAAATCTCCATAAACATTCAGTCATATAATCAGTGGTGGCTTGCTCCCATGACCCCCTTTAAAAGCCTCTGGCAATCCCAGCTGAATTGTTTGATCGTCAGAGGCTTCTAAAAGCATTTTTTTCTGCAACCTCTTAAGGTTGTAGAAAAAATGCTTTTAAAAGTTAAAAAAAAAAAAAGTTGGCCATGCCCACCCAGTCAGGTCATTTTCAAGCCTGTTACGTAGGAAGTCCTCGACTTATGACCACAACTGAGCCCCAAACTTCTGCTGTTGGCAGTTGTTAGATGACAGTGAGAGCAATCCACCCATGGAACAGAAGTTGCCTTGGGAAGTTGTGGGAGCTTCATCCCTGGAAGCTTTCAAGAAGAGACTGGACCGCCATCTATCAGAAATAGTGTAGGGTCTCCTGCTTGGGCGGGGGCAGGGGGTTGGACTAGATGACCTACAAGGTCCCTTCCAACTCTGTTAATTTGTTAGGTGAGTTTTGCCCGATCTCGCCCCCGCCTCCCCGCAGTTAAGTGAATTGCTGCAGTTGTTAAGTCAGTCATGCGGTCGTTAAACGAATCCGGCTTCCCTCATCGACTTGGCTTGTCGGAAGCCGACTGGGAAGGTGACAAAGAGTGATCATGTGACACACACACACACACACACACCCCAAGACCGTACAACTGTCATAAACGCACATCCGTTGTCCGGCACCCGAATTTGGATCACACGACTGCGTGGAATGCCTGTAAGAGTCGTAAAACTTTTTCAGCGTGGTCACTAAACGAACGGTTTTAAGCTGAGGACCCCCCACCACCACTCTTGGCAGCTGGAATTTCTATTCTACTGCCTTCTCCAAAAGGGGAGGGGGGTTGTAGAATTTGGTACCGAGACCGAAAGACGTAGAAAGACGCAAGGCCTTATCTTCTGCGTCGATCTGGAATTTCCACCAGACAGGAAATTTCCACATTTCCTGTGGGCCTCCTGTACACCATCTCCTGGCTCACTAGTACATATTGGCTGGTGGAGCGGGGGGGGGGGCTTGGGGGAGAGAAGATCATTGATGTTGTATTAGATATCAGTCTGGTGCAACCAAAGACGCAAATGCTTCGGACGTCGTTTGCCAGAAACCTGAAGGAACCGCTGATTCAGGACAAAAATCAGTAGGCAGGATGGCGGCAGTCATGGCTAACGCAACATTTCAATTGCCCAAATTGGGCACCCCCAAGAAATGTGGTTGATGCATAATTCCACCCGAAAGGTCAAGGAGGCAGTTGCTCTTAAGATGCTTAAAGCACAATTTCTCAAACATATCAATATCAAGAACATATGAAGAACGGTTGCTGGAACTGGGTATGATGAAAAGAAGGATTAGGGGCGACGTGAGAGCAGTCTTCCAATATCTCAGGGGCTGCCCCAAAGAGGAGGGAGTCAAGCTATTCTCCAAAGCATCTGAGGAGGGTAGGACAAGAAGCAATTTATGGAAACTAATCAAGAAGAGAAGCAACTTAGAACTAAGGAGAAATTTCCTGACAGTGAGGACAATTAACCAGTGGAACAACTTGCCTCCAGAAGTTTATAAATACTCTAACACTGGAAGGTTTTAAGAAGAGAGTGGCTAACCATTGGTCTGAAGTGGTATAGGGTTTCTTGCCTAAGCAGGGGGTTTATTATTTATTTATTTATTAGTTTGATTTATATGCCGCCCTTCTCCGGAGACTCAGGGCGGCTTATAATGCTTTTAAGCAAGAGCCTTCATACTTTTGTATATACCTGCTTAGTAGGGCTTTTGCACACACACCCCCAGCGGTGTTCTATTTTATACAAAATCAGCTTATTGCCCCCACAATCCGGGTCCTCATTTTACCTACCTCGCAAGGATGGAAGGCTGAGTCAACCTGGAGCCTGGTGAGAATTGAACTCGCAGTAATTGCAGGCAGCTGGCAGCTAAATACTACTTTAACAGTAGTTTAGTCCACTGCACCACCAGGCTCAATAGTCCAAGGGTTGGACTAGATGACCTCCAAGGTCCCTTCCAACTCCGTTATTCTATTCAAACTTGCACCATTTTAAGATGGCTGGACTTCCAACTCCCAGAATTCCCCAGCCAGCTAGGCTGAGCTTGCAATGGAAGATTGCATTAGATCCCACAACATGGTGCAATATTTTTTTCCTTCACCTCAGTCGTTGCCCTGTGAATAACCAGCCAACGATTTATGCAAGGAAGGACGTCTCATGACATGTTGAGTTCGTACCTGCAAGACGTGAATTTGAAAGGACCTTGAGGTTAAAATATAGAAAGAACGGGTTGCTGGAACTGGGTATGTCTAGTCTAGAGAAAAGATGTCAGCACTCCAAGCTGCATTCACTCCAGTGCTGACATAAGAAGGAGAAGGTGGGGGCATCTGGCAAGAGGACGCTTGACTTTTCACCTACTTATTTTCCCTGGAGATACTATCCCCTAGGAGATGGGTTGGGAGGGGGGAAATTTGAGACGACACCGAATCCCGACAAAAGAAGGACCAGAGGAGACATGAGAGCAGTCTTCCAATATCTGAAGGGCTGCCCCAAAGAAGAGGGAGTCAAGCTATTCTCCAAAGCACCTGAAGGCAGGACAAGAAGCAACGGGTGGGGATGAACCAAGGAGAGAAGCAACCTAGAACTAAGGAGAACATTTCCTGACAGTTAGAACAATTCATCAGTGGAACAACTTGCCACCAGAAGTTGTGGGCGCACTATCACTGGAGGCTTTTGAGACAAGACTGGACAGCCACTTGTGCAAAGGGTTGGAATAGAAGACCTCCAAGGTCCCTTCTGTTATTCTGTTAGTCATACCTTCTTTGTATGAAGGACTTTCATATTTACTTTGGGTTAGATCAGTGTTTCTCAACCTTGGTAGCTTGAAGATGGGTGGACTTCAACTCCCAGAATCCCCCAGCTGGGGGGATTCTGGGAGTTGAAGTCCACCCATCTTCAAGCTACCAAGGTTGAGAAACACTGGGTTAGATGGATGTACATGCATACACACACACGCATACTTCAAATAGTAAAACAATGGACGTCTTAGCTAGTAAGTATCACCATTGCTATTCCAGTGAGAGAGATCACCAGGGTTCCAAAGTAGGAACTTCTTCCTTTGGTTGAGGAAGTTCCTATTTTGAAGCCAGGGTGATCTAATAAAGTGTTTCTCAACAGCAACTCTAAGTTGTACTTAAGGCGTAAGGTTCCTGCTGGCTGGATTCCAACAAAGGAGAAGATTTGTAGCTCAGGTTGAAACATGGAGTCCGTGGTGCTCTCGCTGAGCTTGGTTGATCTCTTGCAGACGTTTCCTTACCCTAACTAGGTGACATCAGCACTGATGGTGTTCCCTAGTGGGGTGATGAAACGTCTGCAAGAAAACAACCAGGCTCAGAGACCGCCAAGGGCTAGGAAACACTGATGAATATATACTGAAAAAAGCCGCCTTGAGTCTTCGGAGAAAGGCGGCATACAAGTTGAACAAACAAATAAATAAATAAATACTGTATTCAGCCATCCTCAATAGTGGTGGGTTCTAACCGGCTTTACTACCAGTTCTCTTTGTGTGCACACGCTTCGCGCGCAATTGCCGCACACATGTTCGCTTCACTGGCATGCGCGCCAAACTTGCGCTCCATGCAAGTGCGTTACGAATCTGCCCAGCTGAGGTGCGGCAATCCACTCTGCGGCACCTATCAGCTGGGCTAAAAAAGAAGAAATAAAAGGTAGGAATAACACGGAGGCGGGTGGGAGGGCACAGCTCCCGGACAAAGAGAACCGGTTCGGTGACGTCATATCGTCACCGCTACCGGATCGGCCGAACCGGGCCGAACCAGGAGGAACCCATCACTGATCCTCAACCTGGAGACTTCCTATGCCTACCATCGTCTTCAACCAGCCAAATTTTTTCCACTCCCAAGATATCTGTAAAAGATACAAGGCCGAGGAAGGCTTTCACAACGCTCCATCCGCCCATCTTGCAAAAACTTTTCGTACCCCTATGCAGTTCCTTACCGAGAGACGGCAGAATGCCTTGAATTCCAGGTAACTGAGGTGGTCGGCTAGCTCACCTGGATCCAGGTGATCAAACAGCAGAGAGACTTTACGTTTCTTGCCACCGGCAGGACTGTGTTGGCAACTGAGAGAACGGTTCCAGGTATGACTCACCCTGGAGGGAGAATAAGTGCAGAAGGGACTCATTAGGGACCGAGTTGCGATAACCTGGGGCATGGCACAGAGGCAACAAAGGCAGCTGATAGTTCAAACCGCCCATTTATTGCTCCAAATTTCCCCCAAACACTTCCACGTTTCTGACAAGTCCCAGAGCAAAGTGATGACATGCACACACCTCAAGCAGCCTCTGGACGCAAATAGTCCAGCCCAATGCTGTGAGCACCACGGCTGCAAAGCAAGAAATCCAGCAGGGCAAGTCGAGGAATCCAGGAAGCAAAGGAGCAAGGCAAGGAATCCAGAAGGAATGCAAGGAATCCAGGAAAGTTCAAACATCGGCACTCAACACTCCATGAAATTCATGTTTGTTCCCAACAAATGCCCCTCCCCACAACGTCTCTTTAAGTCTCAGTCCCCAGGTGTGCCTTGTGAAGTGGGGGGGGCCACTCTCCTACTGAGTAGTCGGGTCAGTCTGCGCTGTTCTCGCCTTCTCTCCACTCTCCGTGCTCGAGGATCAGGAGGGAGCGGTCCCTGCTCATCGCCTGAGCTCTATCTCTCATGTTCACTGCTAAATCTCTCTTGGTCATCCTGCCCCAGTTCCTCCCTGACTACAAGCTGTCCCAATCCTGAAAGTCCCTGACCTGACTGGGCTTGCTCCTCCCCATTTTCCTCCGAAGCCAACAAAGCCTCCCCCTCGATCTCTGTCGGCTCCAGTTCCAGCTCATCTTCCCCCCTGCCCCTGCCCCCAGATTCAGGCTCTGACAGGGGCAGGACAGGAGTATCCAAAGATTCACAAGACCAGAGGACTTCTTTGTAGAAATGCAGAGTGCGCTCTCTGTAAACAAGACCAACACACTGCTAGGGTGTGGATGGTAGGCACCTGAGCTAACTGGAGAAATGTTAGCTTCCATGCATAGTTGTGGGAAGACGGGATGGTCTAAAGCACCTTTTTGCCATTGCGTGCCAAAAGCAGGGGGAGAGCGAGGGGGTCACGCGCGTGTGTGCCCACACTCATAATTCTATGCGCCCTGCCCCCCGCGCATGTGCACGGGACCTCCCTGCGCTTTCCCCCACTTTTGCCACATGACGGCCCGGTGGGGCCGATAGGCCCGTTTTTTGCTCTCCCCAGGCTCCAAAGCCTTTCTAGGAGCCTGGGGAGGGCAAAAATGGCCTTCCCCCCACCCCAGGCCTTTCAGAGGCAGGAAACAGCCTGTTTCCCTACTTCCGGTGGGCCCAGAAGGCCTGAAAATCAGCTGGCGGAGCTGAGCGCCCACCGATATGGTGGCACGCGTGCCATACGTTCGCCATCACGGGTCTAAGGAGAAGATTGAAGAAGGCAGATGCTTTCCTGAGGAACAGAGATCCATGTCTCTTGAACAGAAAGCTTTGGAGAGGTGAGAAGGCCAAGCTCTTGGAGATCAGGCAAGGAGAACCTGAGAAGCAGGGCCTTCAAGTGCCTGAGGGATAGGAGAAGGCTTAGCAGCACCATGGAAGCTCAGAATGGGTGTTAAGGCAACACCCATGAGTTTTCGTCACTGTTGGTTTCATCTCCACCAAGTGACACGTTAGTTGGACTTTCCTTCTGCTTTACATCCTCATCATGATTTGGTAACATTTTTGGAGAACCTACTGAATCACTCCTCCTTGCCATTGAATCAGAAGATTTTTTTTTAAAAGGATAGGTAACGTCCTGGACCTCTCCTCTTCTTCCCCCAAGGAGCTTGCATCCAAAATAAAGTTTGCTATAGGGCAGGTGTGCGCAACCTTGGCCACTCTTGAAAACTTGTGGACTTCAACTCCCAGAATTCCCCCAGCCAGCATGGGGGATTCCGTCCCTTCCAAGGAGCAATTCCCATCTCTGAACTGGTTGTCGCCACTCACATGCAGGATGTATCGAGCATATTGTTGTGTCCTGCTGGGCCTTGGTTCCTCACCACCTCCAAGATTTCTGTGATCACCTCCTCCAAGTGGGGGTCCAGGTGAAAAGCCTCCGGATAATTCACAAGCCAGTAGCTGAAAAGAGAGCAAGAGGTTCATGTTGGACCTGCATGCCTGACTGGAGAATTCTGGGAGTTGAAGTTCACATATCTTAACATTCACTAGCTTGCTGACAGGAATTCTGGGAGTTGAAGTCCATATATCTTAAAATTTACTAGCTTGTGGCTGGGGAATTCTGGGAGTTAAAAGTCTACACATCTTAAAGTCTGCTACCTTGCTGACCGGAGAATTCTGGGAGTTGAAATCCACATATCTTAATGTTTACTAGCTTGCTGACTGGGGAATTCTGGGCCTTGAAGTCCACACATCTTAAAAGTTTACTAGCGTGGTGGCTGGGGAATTCTGGGAATTGAAGGCTACACATTTTAAGTTGACAAAGTTGAGAAAACTTAGGGGGGGTGCGGGGAGAGAGAGAGAAAAGATATTGGGAAGAGAATTCAGACCGGACAAAGTGGCAGATCCTCAGCTGACGTGAAGGATTCTTGTCCTGGGCTGATTCCTGATATGTGATCAATAAAGTTAAGGCTTAATTTGTTCTCCAAATTCATGTGGAAAGGATTCAGGAATCTGTTTTGCTGAAATGCACTTCTATCCCTCCCTTTCAACAGAGTCCCTTTACTATGTGAGACCTTCTAGCATAGGAGCGTTAAACTCAATTTCATTGAGGGCCGCATCAGGGTTGTGTTTGATCTCGGGGGGGCCGGGGGGGCATGGCCAGCTCGATATCACTCATCAAGGTTCCGTTTCCAGCCATGACGTCCTCCTGCAGTCCTCTGCCAATGAAAACGGAGCCCTCCCGAGCTCGATTTTCGCTGGCAGAGAGCTGCAGGAGGCTGTCATGGCCAAAAACGGAGCCTAGGAGGCCTGTGTGTGGCCCTCCCAAGCTCCGTTTCCGCTGGCAGAGGCACCGCGAGTCGGTCCATCGCTGTTACCAGAGTGGGCCCACAGGCCAGCTCTAAGCACCCTGCAAGCCGAATCTGACCCGCAGGCCTTGAGTTTCACACCCCTGTTCTAGCAGGACCCTATTAACTAAGAGGACATAACGCCGAAACATTTTTTCCCCCACGTAATTTCTGATCTGTTGGAGTATTTGAAGGTCAGGCTGCCTTCGTTGTTCAACAGTTCAATACTGCTTCCCGCTACAAAGCTTACCCTAATTAACTGGCATAATTGCTCCCTAGGAAGTTAATTCTCGAGGAGCCCCAGTAATTCACCCAGAAACCGTTCACTGGGAATTGTCGTTCATTGCAAGTACTAAAACTCAAGATCCTTTTTGTGCTGGTTAAAATAAATCAGAACGCCATTGAAGTATATAATGCTTGTTCTAAAGCTGTTCCTTTAGGTCCGTTTGGTGGCTGGACAAAAGAAATTTGCTAGCTTCCTATAATGCACAAAACCCCACATCCAGGTTCACATCATGTACTGTAAGAATAAACAGTAGCCTGCCCTGACTCACACAGCCACCTAAAATAACATCTCGACAAACTACACCACCAGCGAACCAACCCATTTTATGCAAAATCAGTCCCTTTAGAACTGAGTTTTGTCATTCTAATTTTTGTCAAGGAATCCTTGACTTTGTTACCAGCAAGCAATCCTTTTGCCTTTCGGGGAATTTTTAAATTTAAGCTCTTTAAATGTAAGCTCTGTTGTTTTAATTTGTTTTATATGGCATTTTATTCAGTGTCTGTAAGCCGCCTGGGGTCCCCTTTGATAAGACAGGCAGCATTACAAGTGCATGCAATAAATAAATGAATGAGCGAATAAATAAATATGAAAACTCTTTCCTATCCAACAATCCCCTTGGAAAGACATTCTAAGAAGAGTCTATGGAGATTCTCAGCCATTCAGACAATGGTTGTCCCAAAAGTACTTTTTTCAAGAGGCAACTGGACTTCCTTGGATTTTCCTCGAAGACGTTTCGCTTCTCGTCCAAGAACTGACATGTAGAACTGAAGAAGCTTCTCGGACGAGAAACGAAACATCTTCAAGGGAAAAGGAAGATGTTGCATCTTGAAACGGCACCTCGAGGATATTTTAAGGAGAGATTCTTTGTGTTCCCCCAAAGGATATAAAGTCAGAAGACGGCGAGCCAGCTCTGCAGACGGGACCACCCAACTATGAACGGTTAGTGTCATGTTCACCATGAAGTCGCTGGTGCACAGCTTCCCATCCACATCTGGGGAAGAAAGACAGGCGTTAAATGGGATCTGTCAATAGGCAGAAATGGAACTGAATAGAAATGAGGAAATGGGATAGATCTGCCCCATAATACAGTATGCGCCTGGTCTTTAAGAGCTTGGTCTAATGGTTAAGGTACCTGGCTAGAAAGCAAGAGACACTTGAGTTCAAGTCCTACCTTAGGTGTGAAAGCCAGCTGGTGACTTTGGGCCAATCACCGGGAGACAGCGAGTTCTAGTCCCACATTAGGTATGAAAACTAGCTGGATACCTTTGGCCAATCACCAGGAGATGGTAAGTTCTAGTCCCACTTTAGGCATGAAAGCTAGCTGGATACCTTTGGGCCAATCACCAGGAGACGATAAGTTCTAGTCCTGCCTTAGGCATGAAGGCAAGCTGGATAACTTTGGACCAATCACCAGGAGAGGGTGAGTTCTAGTCCCACCTTAGGCATGAAAGCTGGTTGGATATCTTTGGGCCAATCACCAGGAGACAGTAAGTTCTAGTCCTGCCTTAGGCATGAAAACCAGCTGGATGCCTTTGGGCCAGTCACCAGGAGACGGTGAGTTCTAGTCCCACCTTAGGCATGAAAGCCAGCTGAGTGACCTTGGGGAGAGTCCATCTCTCTTTCTCTCAGCCCAACCCACCTCACAGAGTTGTTGTCGTGGGGAAAATAGGAGAAGGAAGCTGTGTTGGATATGTGTTCTCCGCCTTGAGTTATTTGTAAAAACAATCAAGGCAGAATACAAACCATCAAAGAAACAGCTTCCTGGATGGTAACCTGGGCTATCTGTGGCATGATTTGTGCTAGAATCAGCCTGGATCTCTAGCCTTATGCAACATCTTCCCCTCCACACACACACACACACACACACCAGAATCAAAAGGGGGTCTCCATCTCATGCCCCCACCCCCCTCCAGCCACAGTACCAAAGGAGCGAAGGCATTTCTCAATCAGCTCCTCCAGAGTGCAGGAACGATTCAGTTCTCCCAGGCTGATGGAGGCCAAAGCCTGGTTGATCTCCCGGGGGTTGGGGCAAGTCATATGGCGTCGGCTCTTCCGCCGGTAGATCTTGCTGGCTCCTGGAAGGGTGCTGGAATCCATCTTACCAGCGGCTTCAGTCCGCGATCTCCTGCAAAAGCAACAGCTGTGCTATTGGCCATTCTCAACCACCTGGTGTCAGTCAGGGTTCCAGGTAATACATTCAAGAGGCCAACTCTGTAAACCGCTTAGAGAGGGCTGCAAAGCGGTATATTTTATTTTATTTTATTTATTTATTTATTTAATCTAATTTTTATACCGCCCCTTCTCCCGAAGGACTCAGGGCAGTGCACAGCCAAAGATAAAACAAGTACCCATATAAAATTTAAAAACAATTTAAAAACACGTTAAATAATTTGGCCCCAACGTCATTAAAACATAAACAGCCCATTAAAATTCATGTTTAGGCCAACCCAGCTTGTTGGAACAATAACGTCTTGAGGGCACGGCGAAAGGTACGGAGGTCAGGGATCATCCGTATCTCCAGGGGCAATTCATTCCAGACGGCAGGTGCCCCCACAGAGAGGGCTCTCCCCCTGGGTGTCGCCAGTCGACATTGTTTGATCGACGGTACCCTGAGGAGTCCCTCTCTGTGGGAGCACACTGGCCGGTGGGAGGCTATTGGTGGCAGAAGGCGATCTCGTAAGTACCCAGGTCCTAAGCCATGGAGCGCTCTAAAGATGGTAACCAACACCTTGAATCGCACCCGGAAGACCACCGGGAGCCAGTGCAGCTCGCGCAGGAGTGGTGTTACATGGGAGCGCTGTGTCGCTCCCATAATCACCCGCACGGCCGCATTCTGGACCAGTTGGAGCCTCCGGGTGCTCTTCAAGGGGAGCCCCATGTAGAGAGCGTTACAGTAGTCCGGACGGGAAGTGACAAGGGCATGAGGGACCGTGCACAAGGAGTCACGATCCAGAAAGAGACGCAACTGGTAGATCAGGCGAACCTGATAAAAAGCCCCCTTGGCCACAGTCGTCACATGATCCTCTAGAGACAGCCACGCATCCAGGAGGACATAAGGAGCCCTTATAAGTCTAAGGGCTATTGCAATTGCTTTTTTTCTGGAGAGGCTCCGCTGATTGCCCGCAACAGACCTCTGAAGCAAACTGCTTGCAACCCTGCGCCACGATCTTGCACAAGTTCCTCAAATGCCCATTTCAAGAGCTCGGCGCGCACACACAAACACATCAGCACACGGACAGACACACACAAGAGTGTGCAACCTCATGTTGCCTCGCTGTTTCCAACGCCAGCTATGCCCCAAGGAAAATAGGAGGCACTGTGGGCATTTCTGCCAAGCGCCCCCTCTCAGCCCCAAGGAAAGACCCTCTTCCATCACCCTGCGGCCCTTCCCCGCCATCCCCACCCCACCCCACCCAGCTCTCCAGTTTCCCGTCCTCTGTCTTGTTGCGTGCTGCATCTTGCAGATCTTGTACTAGGAACTTCCCTCCGAAGCAAAAGCATTTCCAACATCCCGAAAACCTCAGCGAGCTGAAAAGGCCGGCTAGCCCGGGCTTGAGATGCGATTGGAGTTGTTTTTTAAGATTTTCGTTCTGATAAATGGCAGGACGGTGGCTGCCGAACTGCAGAGAAGTTTCAAATCCTTCCGACGGGGGGTCTTAGGCACCGGATCGTACAGGCCTGAGGGGGCCTTCAACATTCAGCTGTCCCCGAATGGGACAGCTGTCATCTTCCAATTTAGAGCTGGCCCTTCTCCTCTTAAAGTTGCGCCAAGTTGAGAAGAAACTTACCTGCGGGCGTCCAGCCATGAGGTTCCCCCAGGCTGCAGGTGAGAAGGAAGATCTAGCTGCCAGAGAAACAGATCGTGCTCTCCTGCTTTTCTAAGCAAGGAGGGAGAGCACCCTGAGTAGTCCCAGCGACAAAAATACAAGCCTTTTTCCAGGATACGAAGGGAAGATAAGGAAAAGTCTTGCCCCCTTTTAAGTTTCGGGCTGAGCCTAAAGCTTTCCAGATGCCCATCAGCCCAGGGCCTCTCCCAAACGGGCACCTTGTGAAAGGTTGATTTCCTAGGACAGAAGGATGTACCGAGCAGGGCAACTCCTCCTTTTCCACACCAATGCCAAAGAGGAGAAGTGACAAAATGAAGTTGTGCTCACCTTACTCAGAATGACACGGAACTTAGAAAGCACCCAAGAAATTCCCGGTGACTAAGAGGAGGAGAAAGAAAAGGAGGTTTCGAGGCATTCGGCTTACCGCTTGCTCTCTCGTCGAATCATAGTTCTTTCTCTTTTTTGGGGGGGGCTAGCTCACCAGGATCCTGTCCTCTTTTTTTTTTTTTTTTTTTTTAGCCTGCTGTGACCATTAGGGCGGGTTGCCTCTCCGCTGGGAATTTCTCTGCCAAGCGCCAAAACGGTTCCCGTCGGCGTGAGCCAAGGCGCAGACAAGTCGGACGGCTGAGACGCTGGCTGGCTGGCTGCGAGGCAGCTGAGTCAAAACCGAGTGGTTTTTGTGCTGATGTGGAGTTAAAAGGAACTGGGTTACGCATGTGATGTGGTCTGTGTGTGTGTGTGCGTTTGTGTGCGTGTGTGTGTGTCTGGAAAAAAGTAGAACTAAAATCGTGAGTTTTCACTCTATGGTTAATCAGTCCTGCACACAGTGCGTTGACCATTTAGGCCAGTGTTTCTCAACCTTGGTAGCTTGAAGATGGGTGGACTTCAACTCCCAGAATCCCCCCAGCTGGGGGATTCTGGGAGTTGAAGTCCACCCATCTTCAAACTTCCAAGGTTGAGAAACACTGATTTAGGCCAAAACCTAACAGGTGAATTTTTTCTGTCGCTGTGATTTTAACTCTACAGGTAGAGTTAAGTCCTCAACTTACAACTTGATAGTTTAGTGACCGTGTGAAATTACAACAGCGCGGAAAAAGGTGACTTGGTCAGGACTGGTCCTCGCACTGTGAGCTCTCCTAAAAGGAAGAGAGGTGTGGGGGGGAAGGAGTTACAGGCCGTCCGCGACTTACAACGGTCCATTTAACGACCGTTCCAGGTTACCACGACCCTGCAAAAGAGTGACTTAGGACGGTTTCTCAACACTTACGACCGTCGCAGTATCCCGGTGGTCACGTGATCGGAAATAGGCATGAGGCTCGGCAACTGATTCGTGTTTCTGACGGTCGCCGTGCCCCTGGGATCAGGTGATCCGCTTTTGCGACCTTCTGATCAGCCAAGTCAACGGGGGAAGCCAGATTCACTTCACGACCGTGTGACTCACTTAATAAATGCAGTGATTCACTTAACAACTGTGGCAAGAAAGGTTGTAAAATGGGCACAACTCACTTAACTGCCCCTGTCTCTTTCTCTCTCTCTCTTCCTTCCTTCCTTCTTCCCTTCCTTCCTTCCTTTCCTTCCTTTTCTTTCCTTCCTTTCCTCCCTTCCTTCCTTCCTTTCCTTCCTTCCTTCCTTCCCTTCCTTCCTTTCCTTCCTTTTCTTTCCTTCCTTTCCTTCCTTCCTTCCCTTCCTTCCTTTCCTTCCTTTCCTTCCTTTTCTTTCCTTCCTTTCCTTCCTTCCTTCCTTTCTTTCCTTCCTTTTTCTTCCTTTCCTTCCTTTCCTTCCATCCTTCCTTCCTTCCTTCTTTCCTCCTTCCCTCCCTCCTCTCCTTCCTTCCTTTTCCTTCCTTCCTTCCTTTCTTCCTTTTCCTTTTCCTTCCCTTCCTTCCTTTTCTTCTTTCCTTCCTTCCTTCCTTTCCTTCCTTTTTCCTTCCTTCCTTCTTCCTGCCTTCCTTCCTGCCTTCCTTCTGTCCCTTCCCTCCTTTCCTTTCCTTTCCTTTCCTTTCCTTTCCTTTCCTTTCCTTTCCTTTCCTTTCCTTTCCTTCTTCCTTCCTTCCTTCCCTTCTTCCCTTCCCTCCTTCCCTTCCCTTTCCTTCTTCCTTCCTTCCCTTCCTCCCTCCCTATCTTCCTTTCCTTTCTTTTCCTTCTTTTATTCTTTCTCTCTCCGCTCCCCAACTGCAGAAGTTTGAGAGCCACAGCTAGACCCTGAATCCACCCCTCTTGTGCATTAACTAATGTCCATTTTTCTAACCAGGCCTCCTTGACCAAACCTGTCTCAGCATTTACCCAAACCACGCTGGGCAGGAATCTGCAACGGTCGGCTTCACAGACACCCTCGGCCAAACCCAGAGGAGGACCACATTCCGAGAAACAAGGGAGCCAAACCCAGGAAAACTGGGAACAAGCGTCTTTCCATTGGTCTGAGTGCTTCCCTCAGCTATTTGCTCTGCATACCTGAACAACAGGTGAGAATGTTTCTCTCTGTAGCAGGAGGAGCTTCAGCGGCTGAACAAGAAAAGGCAAAAAAATCACAGGAGTAGACCATTCGAATAAAGGGGAAGGAGAAAGAGAAGTCGGTTTTCCTGTTTGCAACCCAGTTAACGCTATCAGATTTAAGAATAATTAACCCCAAAACAAAAAAAGTATATTCCTTCCAATACAAGTTTACTCCAGGAAAATGACATTTTGGATCCCACATTGTAGATTGTTACACCTTCGTTCACAGGCCTCCAGCCCAGAGGTGGGTTTCGGCAGGTTCTGACCAGTTCTGGAGAACCGGTAGCGGAAATTTTGAGTCGTTCGGAGAACCAGTAGTAAAAATTCTGACCGGCCTCGTCCCCATCTATTCTCTGCCTCCCGAGTCCCAGCTGGAAATGGGGATTTTGCAGTAACCTTCCCCTGGAGTGGGGAGGGAATGGAGATTTTGCAGTATCCTTCCCCTGCCACGCCCACCAAGCCACGCCCACAGAACTGGTAGTAAAAAAAATTTGAAACCCACCACTGCTCCAGCCCATCCAGAAGCAGACCTTCTGATTTCCATGTATTTTATCACTGGATCCCTATAACTGCCAGGGATCCCCTCTGCTAGTTATATTTTCCTTTCACAAGTACTTTTCTTTCCGTTCCCTTCCAGGAGCTACGCCCCTTTAAATATTTTCTTTCCCCTCTGCAGGGAATTTATAAATTGGAAAAGGCTGGGGGGTTTTTTCCCCCCCCCCACCTGTCTTTCTTTCGAAGTCTGTTGGGTTTAGGTTGGTTTTTTTTTTTTTTTTACCTTCCCCATTGTGGTTACGCTTTGTAGGTGGGGAAAAGCTAAACTTTCTGTGTCTTAAAAGAGAGCTTAGTTCAAAGGAAAGGAAATCTCGTCTGCGTTGTGGAAAAAGGTATAGATAAGCCCTAAAGTTGAAATGGTTTAGGTTTTTTCATTGCTATTTAAAAAAAAAAAAAAAAAGATTCTCATTAGAAGACATTCTGAGGTTCTCTCTACAACAGATCGACCTCTCTAAGAAAGTGGAAAAACCAGCAGTTTTTCCATCGGGGCTCCCAAAATTAAGAATGTGGTTCCGTTGGGTTTTACTCGAACGCGGTTGACTCTCAATCCCAGTTGTAGGCCCTGGGAATTTGAGTTGACTAATTCGGTTGGCTTGGGCTTCCTTCCACCTCTTGTCTTTTGCTCTAACCTTGCCCTTGCTGGTTTTTCCAAACTTGCCCTGGAAAGCAAGTCTTGTGTCTTTCCGAGCTACGGAAAAGGAACGTTTTAAAGGCCATCTAGGCTACCTTGTGCGAAATGTCACGTCCCGCCTAGCGAGAACCATGTCCGGTCCAGAGAACAAACCGAGCAAAGTTTCACAAGCCATCATCTCCTATCTCTCCAGCAGTGGCATTTGTGTCTGTCCTTCCAAGACCAGCCCCAGACAGGTGAGTAAGGCTTTGCTTGAAGAGTTAAAAGGAGCTTCATAAAAATGGATCTTAAAAGTAAAATTTCCTTGGAGTCCATCTTGAGTCTGCTAGAATAACAGAAAAACAGAGTCGGAAGGGGCCTTGGAGGTCTTCTAGTCTAACCCCCTGGTCAGGCAGGAGACCCCCCCCCAATACCATTCCAGACAACTGGTTGTCCAAATCTCTTCTTAAAAACTTCCAGTGTTAGAACGCTCACGCCTTCTGGTGACAAGCAGTTCCACTGGTTAATTGTCAGGAAATTCCTCCTTAGTTCTAAGTTGCTTCTCTCCTTGATTAGTTTCCATCCATTGCTTCTTGTCCTGCCTTCAGGGGCTTTGGAAAATAAATTGACCCCCTCCTCTTCCTTGTGGCAGCCCCTCAAATATTGGAACCCTGCTATCATGGGTGTCACTGCATAGGTTTTCTTTTTTTTTATTATTGAAAAAGTTTTACAAATACATTTTTCTCCCCAATTTCCCCCCCCCCTAACCCTCCCTAACCCCCCCTAGCCCTCCCCTCCCCCCAGGACTTCCACAAAATATAATCCAAATCAAAATCACATTTTATAAGACTTGAACTCCTCCACCCCCTGTATATTTTTCAAATCTTCACAAAGTTCTGTCCCTATATAATACTTTCAGTTAAAAGCTATCTGATATTTCCTAGTTTGATATTTATTCTGCACATAGTCTATCCACTTTTTCCACTCCCATTCATAAGTGCTATCATGGGTGTCACTGCATAGGTTTTCTTGATATTATTTATATTTATATTTTATTAAATTTCTATACCGCCCTTCTCCCGAAGGACTCAGGGCGGTGAACAGCCACAAGATAAAACACATAAATACAAAAATTTAAAAATAGATTAAAAACGAATTAAATAATTTGGCTGAATTTAAAATACCCCATAATTTAAAAACAAATTAAAATTTCCATTTAAAAAGGGGAGAAGATTTAGGCCAGGCCAGCTTGCTGAAATAAAAAAGTCTTAAGCGCACGACGGAAGGTGCACAGATCCGGGATCCTCCGTATCTCCGGGGGGAGCTCGTTCCAGATCGTAGGTGCCCCCACAGAGAAGGCTCTGCCCCTGGGGGCCGCCAGGTGAGATACAGGCAGTCCCAGATTGCTTTTCTGTAACCTAGAATTTATCTTAAATAGTTCAGATGGGGTTTTTTTTTTTAGAGATTCTCCGTCATCCAGGCCATGGTTATCCCATGTTGTTTTTTTCAAGAGGCAAACGGACTTCCTTGTTTTTTTTCTTTTGAAGACATTTCGCTTCTCATCCAAGGAGCTTCTTCAGCTCTGACTGGATCATAAATATGAATCGGTTGCCAAGTATCTGAATTTGGATCATGGAGAATACTGCCACGGTCATAATACGTGCCAAAAAACGGTCATAAGTCGCTTTTTTTTTCAGTGCTGCGGTAACTTCGAAGGGTCACTAAATGAACTGTTGTAAGTCGAGGACTAACTGTACCCCCCAAATGTTCCCGTTTGCTAGGCTATAAACGTCAGCGGATTTTTATTTTTTTTTTTAAATTGCACCATCTAAAGGAAATATTTAGTTATCAAGGCAACAGTTTGACGGTTTAATTGCTCTTCCCTCTATTACAGAAGGCTCCAGGTGGGTGTTTTCCAACCTCGGGGCTGTTTGGCATCCCGCTACCCTCGCTGCGTCCTTCGCAACATGTCGAAGGTGTGCCAGAGTGAGTAATGTGGGATGCCCTTCTCTACACATCCTGGATAATCCCAAGAAAAATCCTTCCTCTCAATTAATTGGGGGGGGGGGGAAGAGACCTGTTGGGAACTGCAAACTCTAATTCGGGAGCAGGATATTACGTCAGTTCTGGGTGTTCTAAGGAGATAAGGAGCTTTACTTGCCAATAGAAGAGAATATTGGTAGGTCGGGGTTGAACGGCGGGGGTCCTTGGTGCTCCCTGAGCTTGGGGATTTTCTTGCAGACGTTTCATGACCCAGCTAGGTAGTATGATCAGTGCTATGTCCACAGAATTTACAGCGAGCAGACCACACCCTTGTACCACTGATGATGTTACCTAGTTAGGTCGTGAAATGTCTGCAAAAGAACAACCAAACTCAGAGAGCACCAAGGGCCCCACAGTAATCGTCCTCTTCCTCCTCCTCCTCCTCCTCCTCTTCCTCCTCTTCCTCCTCTTCCTTCTCCTCCTCCTCCTCTTCCTCCTCCTCCTCCTCTTCCTCCTCCCCTTCCTTCTCTACCTCCTCCTCCTCTTCCTCCTCCTCCTCTTCCTCCTCCTCCTCCTCCTCTTCCTCCTCTTCCTCCTCCTCCCCTTCCTCCTCTACCTCCTCCTCTTCCTCCTCCTCCTCCTCCTCCTCCTCTTCCTCCCCTTCCTCCTCTTCCTCCTCCTCTTCCTCCTCCTCTTCCTCTTCTTCCTCCTCCTCTTCCTCCTCCTCCTCCTCTACCTCCTCCTCCTCCTCTTCCTCCTCCTCTTCCTCCCCTTCCTCCTCCTCCTCCTCCTCCTCCTCCTCTTCCTCCTCCTCTTCCTCCTCCTCTTCCTCCTCCTCCTCCTCCTCTTCCTCCTCTTCGTCCGCCTCCTCCTCCTCCTCCTCCTCCTCCTCTTCCTCCTCTTCGTCCGCCTCCTCCTCCTCCTCCTCTTCACTGCAAACCTCACATCCATCTAGCATTGATGATGTTACCTACTCAGGAAAACAACCAAACTCAGGGACCACCCAAGACCCCACAAGCGGGGGTGAAATGCTACCGGTTTAGACCGGTTCGGAGAACCGGTAGCGATGGCAGCGCGAGGATCCACCCACCCGCGCGGTCATCGTTACTTCCTGGTTTTAACCGGGAAGTAACCTGTTTTTTTACCCTCTGCACATGCTCAGAAGGGTTTGCGCACGAGCAGAGGGTCCGGTAGGGAAGGTAAGTAGATTTTACCCCTGCCCACAAGGAAGACTACTGTCTCCTTTGAGTCCTTGCCTTGGTGGTGCAGCAGACTAAAGCACTGTTAAGTAGCACCAGCTGCCTGCAATGACTGCGAGTTCAATTCTCCCCAGGCTCAAGGTTGACTCAGCCTTCCATCCTTCCGAGGGAGGTAAAATGAGGACCCAGATTGTGGGGGCAATAAGCTGACTTTGTATAAAAAAGAACACCGCTTAGGGGTGGGCCGAAAGCCCTACTAAGCAGGTATATACAAAAGTATGAAGGCTATTGCTTAACGCATTGTAAGCCGCCCTGAGTCTCCGGAGAAGGGTGGCATATAAATCGAACCAATAAATAAATAAATAAATAAATTCACACCTCCCTTTTTATTCAGTGAATAATAAGATTGAACCAGTAACCAAAGTGATGATGATTAATTTAAAAACCGTGCTGGTTTTTGGTTGCTTCGTGCAATGGATTCCAGAGCAAAATTTGGGTTTCCAGGTCACGGGAGAGCTGCCGGATCTGCAAGGAGAATTCACACACCGGGGTGTGCACCCCCAGGATGGGTGGCATGGCACAGTACACAACTGACCGCCTCGGCCTGAGCTCCCCCACCCATCTCTTCCCTTCCCTTAGTAATTCCACGGTGAAAACACAGCACCAGCCCTTCCCTCGTCCTGCTACTCCAACGAGGTAGAGACTCATTCAATAACTCTGCCTTTGTGGTCCCCATCCCAGGTTTCTGGTGGATGCCTGTGAGCATCTCCGACCCCATCTTCACATGGAAGGCCTTTTCCGGAAATGCGGTTCAATGACTCGGATCAAAGCTTTAAAGGTAAGAAACGATCACGGAACAGCGGTAAGCGAGCTCCAAGTTCCATCGGATGCTTCGACTTCGACTGAAATAGTTTTCGTTCCTTCTTTTGCCGAGGGCAAAATGTTGGCACCCTGACCAGCTTCTCTTTCAGGTGTAAGGATCTGTATTTCATCTATTATTTCTATGAAGAAAATGTGAGTCTTTCTTTCTTTCTTTCTTTCTTTCTTTCTTTCTTTCTTTCTTTCTTTCTTTCTTCCTTCCTTCCTTCCTTCCTTCCTTCCTTCCTTCTACCATCCAACCTTCCTACTTTCCTCCCTCCCTCCCTCTTCCTTCCCTTCCTTTTTTCCTTGCTTTCCTTCCTTCCTTCCTTCCTTTCTTTCTTTCTCCCTCCCTCCCTCTTCCTTCCTTCCTTCCTTCCTTTCTTTCCTTTCTTCGTTCCCTTCCTTCCTTCTTTCCTCCCTTCCCTTCTTCCTTCCTTTCTTCTTTCCCTTCCTTCCTCCCTCCCTCTTCCTTCCTTCCTCCCTTCCTTTCTTCCTTCCTTTCTTCATTCCATTCTTTCCTCCCTCCCTCTTCTTTCCTTCCTTCTTTCCTTCCTTCCTACCTTCCTTCCTTCGTTCCTTCTTTCCTCACTCCCACCCTCTTTCTTTCTTCCTTCCTTCCTTCCTCGGTGTGCAAGAGTTCGTTTTGGTGACCGTCCAAAGATACAACGGCCCTGAAGAAAGTGACTTGTGACCGTTTTTCACACTTATGACCGTTGTAGCCTCCCCGTGGTCATGTGATCCAAATTCAGACGCTTGGCAATCGGCTCGTATTTACGATGGTGACAGTATCCCAGGGTCCTGCAATCACTTTTTGCGCCCTTCTGACAACCAAAGTGGGGAAGATGAATTCACTTAACAACTGCGGGACTGATTCTAATAGAGAGTTAGCCTGAGCCCCTTGACTTAAGGGTCTTCACCCTAAGCCTGATTTCTTCCTTAAATCTACAACAGTGTTTCTCAACCTTGGAAGCTTGAAGATGGGTGGACTTCAACTCCCAGAATCCCCCAGCCAGCGTTTCCCCCTCTTTTATAAAAGATTTTTTAATTTTTAAATATCTTTTAGTATTTTATACATTCAATTTTAAATTGGTTTTAAAAGTTTGGGGTTTTAAATTTGTCGGGGCCAAAATTATTTAATTTGATTTTATTCTACTTTTAAATTTTGTATGTATGTGTTTTATTGTTTGGCTGTGCACCACCCTGAGTCCTTCGGGAGTAGGGCGGTATAGAAATAAAATAAAATAAATAAAATAAATAAATAAATAAATATGTGCTGGCGAAGGGAGCACTTTGTGCAACCCTCTTAAGCACGTGCCGAGCCTCTGAATTTTGAGCCCGTGGCCTCAAGGACACTGGCAACGGTCGTTAGTGTGAAAAACTTATTTTTTTAAAAAAAAGTACAGTTGTCATTTTCAACAGTCACTAAACGGATTATTGTATGTTGAGGACGACCTGTCGTTGTAAGCTTGGGAATGTGGTGTTGAAACTTCTGGGATGCTAGAAAGGCAGGAGGAAATGGGAAGAATGAAATGATTTCCAGTCGGTGGTTGGTTGCTTTGGTTCTTGAAAATCTCCTGCCCCCCAGCGTGAGAAACGAGAAATGTTAAAAAGCCTGGAGGATAGAATGCTTTTGATAAAAAGATACGGGGTTTAAAATCGGGGATTTTTGACTATTTGCTTTCCCCTGTGGAATTCCACACTTCAGCCCACCGGACAAAATGAAGCAATAATTTCATAAGGACCGCCTGGGAGCTGGCCGCTCTCTTGTCTAAAACCAGCAAAATTATTTAGGGAAAAGGATTCCTGCAGAGAATGTCTCTGGAGATTCTCCGTGGTTCAGGTCGTGGTTGTCCCAAAGGTGCTTTTTTTCCAAAAGGCAACTGGACTTCCCTCGGTTTTTCCTCGAAGACGTTTCGTTTCTCATCCAAGAACCGAAATGTAGAACCGAAGAAGCATTCTTGGATGAGAAGAGAAATGTCTTTGAGGAAAAACCGAGGGAAGTCCGGGAGTGTTTTGAAATGAACCTTTGGGATTCCTACAGAATTTGAAGGGATTTTCTTAGTTTTGGAGTGTTCCACCAGTTATCTCAGATTAATTCTTCTTGAGATTATGGAGAGCTTGCCTCTTTCTCCTCTGTTTTTTCCTTTCCCCTTTTCCTTTCTTCTCTTCCTTTCCTCTGCTCGCCTTTCCTTCTTCCACCCTTTCTTCTCTCCTCTCCTCTCTTCTCTCTCTCCTCTCCTACTCCTGCCTTTCCTCTCCTCTCCTCTCCTCTCCTCTCCTCTCCTCTCCTCTCCTCTCCCTCTTCCCCTCCCCTCCCCTCCCCTTCCCTTTCCAGCTACTATTGAGACCAGACAGCCACCTGTCAGAAACGGTGTGGGGGTCTCCTGCTTGGGCGGGGGAGGGGGGGTTGGACTAGATGACCTCCAAGGTCCCTTCCAGCTCGGTTAATCTGTAAGATTTCAGCAACCTGGATGGGATCGCTGGTGTTTCTGCCTTCCAGGCCCGTCTGGAAGCGGGCGAGCGGTGCCTGCACATGGCTCTCCCGTGCGATGTGGCCACTCTGGTGAAGCAGTTTTTGAGGAGCCTGCCTGAACCCCTGATCCCCGCCGAGCTGCAAGGCTCCCTCTGCCAGGCGCAGCAACAAAGCCGAGAAGATCGGGACTCGCTGACTCTGCTCCTCACCTGTCTGCTTCCCCCAAGGAACGCCACCATCCTCCGCTACTTCCTAAGCTTCCTGCAGGAGGTTGCGGCCAGGTGAGCCCCCGAAAGGGGATATATTTGTTTATTGATTGACTGACCTGATTTCCATCCTGCCTTTATTATTTTTAATAAACGACTCAAGGTGGCCAACACGTCTAATCATTCTTTCTCCTCCTGTTCTCCTCCTGAACAACCACCCTGTGAGGTGGACTGGGCTGAGAGAAAGTCACCCAGCTGGCTCTCCTGCCTAAGGTGAGACTAGAACTCACGTCCTCCTGCTGATTGGCCCAAAGTCAACCCAGTTGGTTTTCATGACTAAAAGGAGACTAGAATTCACTGTCTCCTGGCAACTGGCCCAGTGTCACCCAGCCAGCTTTTCTGCCTAAGGAGGACTAGAACTCACAGTCTCCTGGCCCAAAGTCACCCAGTTGGCTTTCCTGCCTAAGAGGAGACTAGAATTCACTGTCTCCTGGTGACTGGCCAGAGTCACCCAGCTGACTTTTGTGTCTAAGGAGGGACTAGAACTCACTGTCTCCTGGCAACTGGCCCAGTGTCACCCAGCAGCTTTTTCTGCCTAAGGCAGGACTAGAACTCACAGTCTCCTGGCCCAAAGTCACCCAGTTGGCTTTCCTGCCTAAGAGGAGACTAGAATTCACTGTCTCCTGGTGACTGGCCCTGAGTCACCCAGCTGACTTTTGTGTCTAAGGAGGGACTAGAACTCACCGTCTCCTGGCAACTGGCCCAGTGTCACCCAGCCAGCTTTTCTGCCTAACACAGGACTAGAACTCACAGTCTCCTGGCCCAAAGTCACCCAGTTGGCTTTCCTGCCTAAAGTGAGACTAGAACTCACTGTCTCCTGGTGATTGGCCCAAAGTCACCCAGTTGGCTTTCATGCCTAAGAGGAGTCTAGAATTCACTGTCACCTGGTGATTGGCCTGGAGTCACCCAGTCTCCTGGTTTCTAGCCTGGTTCCGTCTGCTCCACATTTGCTTAATTCTGTGTAGGCCCATAACCACTGCAGCCCCCTCCAACCCCTTTGCACCCACAACTGGGAATCCTAATTCCCTTCTCGCCCCACCCCCACCCCGGAGCTTTTGAGGACTCTGCAGGTCTTCCTTTTCTCGTCTTCAGTGCCTGTTTTTGCCTACTTTGATAGCTAGAAACGTAAATTCCTGACTCTTGTTCCTTTGTGAGTCAGGGATCTTTGTATTTCACATGCCTCATACTTGCTGTGCGTGTGTGTGCATGTGTGTTTCATGGAGTTGCGGCTGCTCTAGAAGGATTGTGCGCTTGGCATCTGTTAAAAGCCGGAACAGGGACACAGGGGAGCCCCCAAATGCGACTCCCCCAAAGCTCAGCTCCTGTCCTGCACGGAGCTGTCTGTAGGGCACAAACCCCAAAAGTGAGGATGGCAGCAGCCGTGACGCAGCACTCAAAGCTCTGGCCGGGGTTGCAATGGGCCCGCCAACACCCCTCTCTCCTATGACGGATGTCTGTTTGCCGGAATGAATGAACCTTCCCGTGCTGCTCCAAGGACACGGGGTCCTTCATCCCCCCCCCACCTCCCTCTTCTGCCGCGTGATGGCAGAGCCCTTTTCTCTCGCGACCACGCACAGGAGAAGTTTGTGAATGAGTCACCGCAACCTGAACGCTGTAATGACGGTGTTGCTCGTGAAGCTCACATTCATTCTGTAAAAAAAAAAAAAAGGCTTGGCGGAGGAGGGGGGGAGAGAAGAAAGAGGAGTAGAACATCGCAGGGCACGTAAAGCATGCGCCCACCGACAACAGCCCTGAGGACTAGCAACTTGTTTTCCCCCTAAACCAGGGGTGTCAAACTCAAGGTCCGTGGGCTGCATCTGGCCCGCAGGGTGCTTAGATCTGGGCCGTGGGTCCGCCCTGGAAAAAGCAAAGGACCAGCCTGTGGTGCCTCTGCCAGTGGAAAAGGAGCTCAGGAGGGCCACACTCAGGCCTCCCGGGCTCCGTTTCCAGCCACGACGTCCTCCTGCAGCCCTCTGCTACTGAAAATGGAGCTACGAAGGGC